GGCTTCCTGTCCACTGACAGTCTGTGCTTCCATGGCAGGCTCTCTCCAACTTGTCCTCTTCTATGAAAAAGATAAACTGTCAAACCTGCATGTCAGACTTCACTGCTGAGAGATGAGAGGTGCCAACTGTCCTCTACATACGCAAGTCTTCAAACCCATCACAAGCCATACATGCTACCCTGCTTACTGCTTTAGGTTTTTTGTTTTGTTTTGTTTTTGTTTGTTTGTTGTGCTTGGATGAAACTCAAGGCTTTGCTCCACTTTTCTCTTTTTTTGAGACAAACACTCTACTAGACTGGAGATCTCCTAGTCTCAGCCTTCTGAGTAGCAGCAATTTGCAATCTCAGACAAATTATATATCACTTCATTAAATTTTTAACGTTGTGCTAAGAATGCTGGACCTCACACATTCTGGGCAAGCTCTCTGCTGTTGAGCCATACCCTCAGCTTCCTCAATCAATCTCAATACTAGCTAGTTGGGGCTGGAGAGATGGCTCAGAGATTAAGAGCACTGGCTGCTCTTCCAGAGGTCCTGAGTTCAATTCCCAGAGCCATCTACAATGAGATCTGGCGCCCTCTTCTGGCCTGCAGGCATACATGCAGGCAGAACACTATATACATGATAAATAAATAAATCTTTAAAAAAAAAGTACTAGCTAGCCTCCCCAGAATAAGATGGACTAGCCTAAAAGGGCACTGTGGTTGAGATGAACCTAGAGCCACCTATTTAAGGTAGAAAGAAAGTAGGAGTTCAGAAAAAAATAAAATTTAAAGGTTGGGAGATAGCTCAATGGGTAAAGCACTTGCTAAGCAAGCGAGCATGAGGGCCTGAGCATGGGTCCCCACTATTCCATCTAAAACCTGAGCATGACAAGTCATACCCAGCAATGTGACCCCAGCAATGGAGATGTGGAAACAGGCAGATCCTGGGGCTTAATGGCTAGCCAGTCTAGCTTAAACAGTTAACTTCAGAGTCAGTGATGAAACCTTATCTCAAAAAAAAAAAAAAAAAGTTGGGACTGGAGCAATAACTCAGCATTTAAGAGCACTCGCTGTTCTTGTAAAAGACATAGGTGTCCATCATGTGAACTCACAACTTTCTGTAACTCCAGTTCCAGGGAATCTGATGCCCTCTTCTGTCTCCTGGCTTCTGCAGGTGCCAGGCACTTAGGTAGTGCACAGACACACATACGGCCACAACAGTCATATACATAACATAGAAAAATAAAGAATAAGGTGGACAAAAATAGGCAAAGATACCCAATGTCAACCTCTAACCTCCTCATGTGCATGCATCTGCATACACATGTGCACACACACCCTACACACATGAAGAAAGAAAGAGCAAGGGAGGGAGGGAGGGAGGGAGGTGGAAAGAATCAGTTGAGGAGGATCTTCCGGTAGGAAAATGGAGTCTTTGGCTAAGCTCCAAAACACAAATCTAAAGTTAGCAAGCCTAGAAGGAAGGAGGCCGGGGACCACCCAGCAAAATGCACAACTTGACATAAAAGAGGTGACCCTAGGTTTACGAGGAGCAGAGTGACAGAATCACAGCAGCAGGTCTTGAGTGGATTCTGCTGCTGGGTCAAAGACAGACCAGAAGCAAAGGTGCAGAGCAGGAGCCATGCTGGCTGGGGGGGCGAGTCAAGGGCATCTGGGATTGGTGGATCTACTATCTAGGTGTTAGTTTTGTTCTTTTGTTCTATTCCACCAGCTTGCACACATAGACATCATCATGCTGCTGGTCTATAGAACCTCTGTACCTCCTATTTTATTAGATTGTTTCAAATCTGTGGTAGCCAGATAAGCAATTTTCATTGGTCGTTCATTCACTTGGTTATTCATTCATGCTCACACACATATTCACCAAATAGCAGCAAGATCCAGAAACATTTGGAAATAAGATATAGCCATTGCTTTTACAAAGTTTGTAGACTTCTGGGATAAACAGATTAAAACATAATTCTCACACCCAACAGACTCTAAATACCACAAGAGCAGAATGAACCAAATTCTGTGCCAGGGGTTGAGAACAGAGCAGATCAGGCTGCATTTGACCAGCAAATGTTTTGTTTGGCCCACATGGTGTTTTACTTTGTTTTTTCTAATTAGGTGCCAACATTTAAAAATTAGGACATTTCACATTTAAAACGCAGATTCCTAGCTTCTGGTAAAAATAGGAAGATCTGCACACACCAGGCCAAATTCCTACGCAGTGGTAATTGGCAGGAGCAGAGCAGCAGCTGCCCCTCTCATGCAGACTGAGAGGCTTCCAGTTTGCCATAGTCCTTGCCACTCCCTATTGCTCTCTGACACAGAAGCAAATGCTTGGTTGCCAGTGATTGCCAGCTTGTGCTGTGGGTGCTCTGTTTTCCTCTGGTTGGTTTTGTCTTCTAAGAAAGCTACTATAGGGTCTCATTGTATAGTCCTGGCTGTACTAGAACTCACTCTGTAGACCAGGCTGGCCTTGAACTCACAGAGATCCACCTACCTCTGCCTCCTGAGTGCTAGCTTAAAGGCGTGCACCACCAACCCTGGCTGTGAGTGCTCTTATACTAGAATAAAGAGAAAAGTAATAGAACTGTGCAATTACCCTAGTACTGCTAAGGTTGAGACAGGAGGGCCAGAAACCCAGGCCCAGTCTGGATTACATGAGACCCTGTCTCAAATAAGTAAGACCAAAAACCAAAAACATTTTTATTGTTTCAGTTTTTATTTATGGGGGGCGTGTGTACTGTGGAGAGCTTCTGGAGGTCAGAGGTCAGCTAGCAGGAGTTGGTTCTCTCCTTCACTGTGTGAGCTCTAGGGATCAATCTCAGGTCCTCAGGTATGGCAGCAGGCACCATCTGCTGAGCATCCTACTGCTCACCTCCAGAAAGGTTTCGTTAGAATCAAAGGGACTGGCATAGTGACATGGTTCAAGCAAGGTGCAGAGGAATGTCCTGCCTGCAACACAGATTCCTTATGTTTAAGTGCGGCCTATTCACGCTAGTTGCCTGACCCAAATTAAAGGCAGAGGCTCAAAGAACTGGCTTTCAAACAGGGCACCCTGAGCTGGCAGGCCGGCTCGCCCTGGCACACCCTTATCTGCACTCTCTACACTGGCCGTTCCTTGCTGTAAATGGAGGTAATTACAGCACCTCCCTCAGAACCACCTGAAGAGGCAATAGGTAAGCACACAAAGTTCTTAGGCAATGTCTGGATCAAGTCAGCATTAGCTGTTACTTGTGCAGGTCCCTCCAAAGTGAGCCTTGAGGGGTATTTAGGATCTCAGTGTCACACATAGAAAGGCCTCAGGACAGACAGAGTAGTGTGAAGATGAACGGACAATCTAGGAAGACTCTGAGTCTGGCTGAGAACTACTTAATAAGCCACAATTTCCAAACATGTGTTCCTGGTGGATGAATTTTGGTGACAAAATAGAGTAGACACCAGATAGCATTGAATAATTAAGATGGCAAAGTTGTTCTATTGTCATTTTCTTTTATAGGACATCTTTTACTATTCATTTATTTATTTTGGTTCTCAAGACGGGGTTTCTCTGTGCAGCCCTAGCTGTCCTGGAACTTACTCTATAGACCAGGCTGGCCCCAACTTGCCCAGGCTGGCCTTGAACTCACTCTGTAGCTGGGAATGACCTTGAACTCCCAATCTTCCTGCTTCCTCCTCTAGAAGTGCTGAAATTACAGGCTTGGGTCTAACTTTCTTTCTATCCTTTTTCAAACTATTTTTATATGCATCTGTGTGTGTGTGTGTGTAAATGTGCATGAATATTCATATGTGTGCATATTCTGCAGAGGACAGAAGACATCAGGTGTCCTCTTCCTCCCTTAACCTGGAAGGCCTGTCCCCCAGGTGAGCTGGTAGCTAGCAAACCCCATCAGTCATCCTGTCTTGAGTCCCCTCTGCAGCAGTATTACAGGCTTGGCCTTTATAGTAGGCGTTGGGGTCTGAACCCTGGTCCTCGTGCTTGTGCAGGAAGTACTCGCTCTAAACTTCACTAAGCCTTTCCCAAGCTTTCTAATCAGAGGAATGCCTTTATTTGAGGCCCATCTTACATGTCTCTCTGACCTTACATGGGAATGTACCACTTGAGACACAGTAGGGTGGGTAGAAACAGGTCAGCTTAGGTGGGAACACTCCCTTTTAACCACCTAAATGCGAGTTACTCACAGTTATGTTTGTTCTTGCTTAAACATTTTAGCTATTGCACGTGGGACAAATGATATTGATTTTTCACACATGGAGTAGTTTTCTGCATAAAAGCATGTTTAAATAAAAGTGAGGTAGGCTGAACATGGTGGTGCACACCTTAAATCCCAGTGCTGGGAGGCAGAAGCAGACGGATCTCTGTGAGTTCAACACCAGCTTGGTCGCTGGCCAGTCAGAGCTTTAAAGTGAGAGACCGTGTCTCAAAAAACAAAAAAAAGTGAAGAAATTTAAAAAATGTCAGGGAACCAAAATTTGGGCACTTGGGAGCTGCATCAAAGGTCAGGAAGCTGAGAAACCCTGTGGTGGGTTGGAAAAGTCCGAGGGGTTAGGAGAAAGACTGGAAGGCGCTCCCGGAGACCGCCACCCTCAAGTGGTCCCCAAGCCCCCTCCGGGAATCTCGGTCTCTCTTTCCACTGAGGAGTTGGAGACGCAGCATCAGACTACTCGGCCCAGGCCGCAGGACCGTTGCCATGGCAACGCGCCCGTTCCCGCCGCTTCCCCCGCCATCCCGGAGCGTCCCGCTTCTCACCATTGCTCCACTTTGTCTCTCCACGTCAACACGGCCCTCATCGCCGCTCCCCTCACGCTTCGGGCCCCTCCTCCCCGCCTCGACAGCAACAGCCTTCTCTCCGCAAACTACTTCGGCTACCTGCGCTACCCTTGGCAACGCACATGCGCAATAAACCGCGCGTGAGTCCGCAGAGCTCTAAGTACGCATGTCCAAAAGGGGGCCCGGTTCCACGGCTGAAGCGCCAAGGGCCGCAGGAGGCGGAAGCGGAAGTATGACACTCGCGATTGGTCAGTGAAGACTGGAGGGGCGGGGCTTCTCGCCGACGGAGGGTGTGATTGGCGGGGCCCTGGCCATGGCGGCTGTAGCTCAAGCGGCGGCGGGAAGGCAGCGCTGGGGACTGACGGAGTCTCCTGTCACTCTTTGGATCCCACCCACTGTTTTGAGCCGAGTTCAACTTCCACTCCGCCTCTCAGCCTGGAGCTGCAGCTGCGGCCCGGTGAACCACAGCCACAGGGATGGAGAGCCCAAACCTTGGGGACATCTCAGTCCCCTCCATCACCCCTAGAAAGAACCTAGTTCCAGACCCGCCTTGGGACCTCTGGCAAGTTGTTAACCCCTCTCGAGCCTCAGTTTCACCACCTGTAGAATGGGAGCAGGGGAATCGCTCCTGTATGGATGACAGACACATGGAGCTGTCGCCCCTGTGGGAATAATCTTGGGTGTGCCCGTACCCGATTGCTTGGCCGAGTTGACTGGGGAGCTTGGAGGACAAGGGAGGTTTTGTGATGCAAGCAGGTCAGTCTGGGTCGGAAGGGCTTAGGAAGAAGTAGGAGCAAAAGGTGCGTTCCATGCCCCAGGGCACCTCAAAAACAGTCATGAAAAGTCACAGGAAGCTACTGTTGTGTCGGGACCAAAATGATGTACCTATTTGCATGTCTCAAAACCTGACCGTTCAAAACAATTTTAAGGTCTGAGCATTTAACTAATTTGGTAGAGTGTTTACCGAGTATAAACGAAGCCGTTAGTTCGATCCGCAGCACCAAATCCCCGGGCTTGGTGGCACTGGCCTGTGGAGTCAGGAGGATCAGAAGTTGAAGATGAGTCTCTGGTACGTGGTGGGTTCAAGGCCAGCCTGGGGTGCATAAGATCCTGTCTCAAAAGCAAACAATAGCAACAAAACCTTTTTTTTTTTTTTAATTCCTCCCTTTTACAGATGGGGAAGGAGATTTTGAGCTCCAAGTGCTTTCTCTTGGAAGCTCAGCTAATAGTAGATAGCCGAGCTGGCTTTTCCACCCTCTGTGTTAACCTAAGAGTTTGTGGTGATTCCCCCAGGCTTCTGCTGCCTTGTCTCTATAAGCTTCTTATAGCTGATATTAACCTCAGATTCCATTGGAGTGCCGTGGTTCTAACTGGTCAGTCACTAGTTCTTGCTTGGTTTCCCTATTTATAGGAAGCAGATGGGGTTAAATGGTCTCTAGAGACTCACTCACTCTTTTTAAAGGTTTATTTTTATTTATGTGTGTCTTCATATCTGTACACGGGTGTTGGTGGAGACCACAGGAGGGTGTCAGATTCAATGGAGCTAGAATTGCAGGGTTAGGAGCTGCCTGATGTGGGTGCTGGGAACTGAACTGGGGTCCTCTGGAATATGAGCTCTTAACCACTGAGCCGTGTCTCCAGACCCTCACTCACCTTTTAAAATGTATATATAGTTTAGTGAATAAAAAACTCTGTACTCAAGGCTGGAGAGAGAGCTCAATTGTTAAGAGCAATTAATATTTTTTCATAGGACCTGGGTTTGGGTCCCAGCACCCACAGCCCAGGTTCACAACCACCTGTAACAACACAGCTCCAGGAGACCCAGCCCCCTCTGGCCTCAGCACCTGCATGGACATGGTATACATATATAAAGTTCTTTAAAGGCAGGAGGGATACACTGTACTGAAGGTTTTATAGGGATCCCCTGCCTCCCCCATAATGAGAAGTACTAGGCCACAGTTCTGTAGGCCTGAGTTCTGGTATCAGTTCTGCAAGTGATTGGATTTCATTATCACACAATTTGTCAATAAGAATAAGTAATGAGAATAAAGACCAAAAGATTTGGACATTCTTACCTTTTGGAAGTCATGTACCTTTTGGGGGAGCTACACTGTTTTATGAAAGTGGTAGCTATTGTTTCTCAAAAATGCACATGTATGTGAAATGTTCCCTCACTTATTTGCAAGAGAGAGGGTTGACCCACTTTTTTTTTTTTTCCGAGACAGGGTTTCTCTGTGGGTTTGGAGGCTGTCCTGGAACTCGCTCTGTAGACCAGGCTGGCCTCGAACTCACAGAGATCCGCCTGCCTCTGCCTCCCGAGTGCTAGGATTAAAGGCGTGCGCCACCAATGCCCGGCGAGGGTTGACCCACTTAATCAACTCTGCTGATCTCAGGCAAATGCCAGCTATTACCACAAACCTTTAGAATAGCCATGGTTGAATGATTACGAAAGTAGAAAATTAGCAGGTATCTTGAACTGTTACTGTACAGAGATTCCTTTATTCTCTTTCTTCCTTTTTTTTTAAAGACAGGGTTTCTCTGTGTAGCCCTGGCTGTCCTGGAACTCACTGTATAGACCAGGCTGGCCTCAAACTCCCAGAGATCTGCCTGCCTCTGCCTCCCTAGTACAGGATTAAAGGCGTGCACCACTGCCCGGTGAGTCCTAGCATTTAAGAACCCATGTTGGAAGACAAGTAGCTGTCAGCACAAGACTAGCTGGCTGATTTTAGTCTTACCTACCATGGTCTTATGTAGTCCTATACCACTGTGGGTTGAAATTGAGTAAGCAGAGTAAAAGAAAATTTAAATGAGTTCATCACTTGGGCTTTATTTTCCCAGCAAGGAGGATGTTGCTGTTGGACTGGGAAGAGTAGAAGATGAAACGGAACTTGTGATAAGCAGTGAGTGTAGCTCCCTTCTCCAGGAACCTGCTGCCTCTACTCCAGTTAGTGGTACTGCAGTGACAGAATGCCACAAGCCCATCGCATGTGGATGGGAGAGAGTTGTGAAGCAGAGGCTGTCTGGGAAAACCGCAGGAAGATATGATGTATACTTCATCAGGTAAGCACGCAGGGAAATAAAAATACAGCCAAGTGATTTTTGTTCATAACAGGAAAGGTTAGTAAGAATCTTAGGTTTATGGCTCAGTGGGTAAGGCACTTGCCAAACAAGCATGAGGACCTGAGTTCGGATCCCCAGAACCCATCTAAAAAGCTGAGTAGGTGTGGCAGCTGCCTATAATCAGCCCTCTGGGCCAGAGGAGGGATCCTCAGGGAAAGCTGGCTAGCTAGAATAACTGCAATTGGTGAGCTCTGGGTTCAGTGAGAAACACTGTCTCAGTTAAAGTGGAGAGTGAGCAAGGGCACCTAATTTCTAACTTCAGGCTTCCATATGCACAGGTACACATGAAAACACTCATATACACATGTGCATGCACCACACTCACATACATTTAAAAAAACTTATTATGAAACCATTATTGTTCCTTCATCGTCACTGGTTAGTTTTATCCAGTGATTTGAGGACAGTCACATATACATGTTGTTGATCCTGCTCTCAAAGGCCAATGATACATTTGGATTTAAGCTACATTTGTATGTTGATTTTATATCATCATAGAGGAATCTATTGAAAAGAGTCATTTATTACTTTTTGTTCCTTTAAAAATGGCAAGCATCTTTGGTGACATTTAGAAACTGTTAATTGGAAATCTGAAATGTAATTCAGTTCTTTTTAAAAGTCACTCCTATTTACTAGCATAAGTTTCCTTTAATTTCATTTTTTTTTTAGCCCACAAGGACTAAAGTTCAGATCAAAACGTTCACTTGCTAATTATCTTCTTAAAAATGGAGAGACTTTCCTTAAGCCTGAAGATTTTGGTTTTTCTGTGTCATCAAAAGGGGGCATCAGGTCAGGTTATAAAGACCAAAGCTCGGCAGTTCTGACTTCCCAGCAGCCAGAAGAAATCGACATTTCAAACCGGAACCTCAGGACACGAAGCAGTGGTAATTCAGAGTCTCCAGGTAGCAGCAGACTGTCTAACTGTGCTTTGCTACTGAAAGATGAACACATTCATGATGCTGACCCTGGGGAGATGAGAATGCCCAAAAGAAAGGTGGCCGTTGGGAAAGGAACTGGAAGTGAGCAAACCAAGCAAAGGTGCAGAAAGAGTCTCTCAGATTCTGCTCAAAGTAACAGAAAAAGAGAATCTGTGATTCAAAAGGCAGGCACTGAAAGTGAGCTGGTCCCACAGGATCGTCAGCCCAGTGGGACCCTCTGCCCTGCGGAGGCCTCCCGTGCAAGCCAGGAGCCTGTGAGCTTGACTGGGGAGGGAGAGGGCCTGGGGAAGGAAAAGCCACCCGGTCCAGGACCAGATCTTCACTCCACACAAGTAACTCCTGGCGTCACAAACAAATTACATTCACCTGAAGAAGCAGGTGATCCGAAGCGTGAGCAGACTGTTTTAGAAGTAGAGGAAATCAGATCGAAGGGAGACCAAGCTGGGGAGGCGCAGTTGCATATCGACGTTTTACAGGGCTCTGAAACGCCCAGCTGCTCACAAGCCAAGAAGCACTTTCCGTCTGAGACATTTCCAGGTACTTGGCTCATGAAAGTTCTCTTACCTGTGTGGTGACCAGTTTACCCTCCCGGAACTTGTATTCCTTGCTTGGTGTGGTTGAGATGGGGGTGTGGTGAAGAGCCCGGCATCAAATACGTTTTCCCAGTTAATCCCAGGATCTGCCCCCTCTAAGTGGGCACGGGGTTTCCCGTATCCCAGGCTGGCCTGGGTCTCACTGTGTAGCTGAAGATAACTTCGATATGGTATCCTCCTGCCTCTGCCTCATGGGTGCTGGGATTAAAAGCATGTGGCATGATGCTACTTTTCTAATGTAATGCTGGGCATGGGACCCGGGGCCTAATGATGGTAGACAAATGCTCTTATCAACCCAGCCACACCCCCACCCCCTAACTGATCTCTGCACTAGCTAGTCATCAAGCCCTTACCTATGGCAGAGAGGGAATCAGCTGGCCACAGCCAGGACGTCCAGCAAAGGAAGACTGGTGTGTCATGGCTGATCCCACCTCTCCTGGGCAGCAGCTGGGAGGCGGGGCTTTCCCCACTGGCCCTCTTTCTAGACAGCAATCTTAAGATTGTAAGGAAAATTAAAAGGCTCTCTGTGAAGGCTGTAGGTGAGACTCCTTTTATACATAAGCTGACCAAGAGTAGTCAGCACCCTCCTGCCCCCCCTGTACTGCTGATGTGTGACTCCCAATTTCATTCTGTCTACATCATAGTCTCTATCTTCTGTTACACCCTGATGCTTCTCTAAAAGGCCTGGGAGCTCTCAATAATTCAAAAGTGTAATTGCTCACTTCATGTATTATTTGTACTGTGCTCTTCACATGGAGTCCAGGACTTGACAGTTCTGCCTATACAATGCCTCAGTGAATTATAGATAAAAGATACGAGCAGCTCTGGTTATTCATTATGCTGTTATAATGAATAACTCCCTTAGAGAAGAAGAGTAATTTTAATTTTACTGAGACTCCTTTAGGGAAACAGCCTGCACAGATTGGTGGAACCAGGGTAACACTGATTTTTGCTTTCGGTCCCATCCATAAGGGTACGTCTTCTCTGTGCCTGGGATTGCTGTGTCTTTAACAGGAGATGGCCACATATACCTAAGGAATGATTCAGAAATCCTCAGTCTATGTCCTTTGAGTTCTTAAAGAAACCATTGGGTCATATAGATTAACTGCTATTATAGCAGGCGGATTAAGGGGGCTGGAGAGATGGCTCAGTGGTTAAGAGCATTGGAAGCATCCTCCCTTAACTAATATGGATGTATTCAACTCATCCTATATTGAAGTTTATCTCTCTGTAAGAGGAAGTACCATTGGATTACTAGGTGCTCACTGGAATAATTACTTGGCTAGAAGTATCAGGTAGTAAAGGAAGCTGGGTAGTTATGTATGAGAACCCATAATAAACATCAAGTTTCCATAAGATCAGCTTCCTTTGTTCTGTTTCATAGTTTCTTCTGGGCTTGACCTGCCCAGACTAGAATAGCAAAAGGTATTTACGTCATTGTGTGGAGACCTGGATATTTGTTGCAGTGTTTAGTCAACCCAGTATCATTTTCTGGCAATTATTTAATTTTTAAGCCTTAGTTTCTGAAAATGTAAGCAATAACCCAAACTAGTCCCATATTTTACATCAAGACAAAAGAAACCAGCCACAGAGATGACTCAGCAGTTAAGAGCACTTCCTGCTCTTGCAGAGGGCAGGAGTTCAGATTCCAGCACCCATGTCATGTTGCTTCTAGCTACCTATAACTTCAGCTCCAAGGGATCTGACGCCCTCCACTGACCTCCACAGGTACCCACACATAAATTAACAATAAAGAATATTATAAGGTAGCTGAGTATTGTGTCACATGTCTATAATCCCAGCACTTGGGGGTAAGGTGTAGAAAGATCAGGAGTTCAAGGCCATCCTCAGGTACATGGCAAGTTTGAGGCAAGCCTGGACTATATGAGACACTGTCTCAAAACAGTAACAAAATAGTAATTGTGCAGTAAAAATGAGAAGTGAAAAAAGGTGGTTTTACAATATGCAAATGTTAAGTAACTGCTGCTCAGAGGGAGTACGAGGTGTGACCATTTAAATAAATGGCAGTTGTAGAAACTTAAGATAACATTGGTTTAGATTTTTATTTTGTATTGATGTGGGTGTGGATGCCACATAGATGTGGGTTCCCACAGAGGCCAAAAGAGATCTTAGATCACCTAAAGCTGGAGTTACAGGCAATTGGTACTTGGAACTGAACTCTGGCCCTCTGGAGGAGCAGCAAGCACTCTGACCAGCTGAGCCATTTCTCTAGGCCCTTGTTTTATTTTTGGAGACAAAATTTTGCTGTGTACACCAGGCTGGCCTTGAGCTCACATCTCTTCCTCAGCCTCTCTTGTGTTCTACCCTTTTGATAACTACAACTGCAGAACCTTTGAAAAGTGCATAAAATTATAGAAGAAAAAAAATTACCACTTCTAACAACCACTATACCATCTGAATTCTATTCTCAGTGTCTCTATGTGTGTGTGCATACATACACATATAAATCCATGTTTATAAAATTGGGATCATATGTAGAATCTTGACTTTTTCCATTTAGAAATATATGTCTGAGTTTGAGACCAGCATGGTCTACAAGAGCTAATTCCAGGACAGCCTCCGAAGCCACAGAGAAACCCTGTCTCGACCCCCCCCCCCCCAAAGAATAATAAGTGTCAGTGGGAAAGTATTTGTGTAAGAGTGTCAAAAACATTTTAATGCGACAGGCGTTGGTAGCCCACGCCTTTAATCCCAGCACTTAGAAGGCAGAGGCAGGCGGATCTCTGTGAGTTCCAAGCCAGCCTGGTCTACAGAGTGAGTTCCAGGACAGCCTCCAAAGCCACAGAGAAACCCTGTCTCAAAAACAAAACAACAGAAAAGTTTTTTTTAAGGACCACATCGTATAACTACATTAGGTATTCATACCATTTCAGTTTTCCCATACTGTGAGCTGGCCACACTCTTGAGCTAGACTGCCTACTCTCATACTAGCTTGTGACCTTATTCAGCTTCTTTGTGCCTCAGTTTCCTTATGTATAAAGTAGAGATAAAATAATGCCAAGCTGATAGAGTATTAGTAGAATTAGAGTAATTTTTGTAAGTGTTTATTATGTAGCCCAGGCTAACCTCAAACTCTATCCTCCTGCCTCATCCTTCCATAAACCATAGATTCCCTAAATTTTCTTTTCAGAAGACAACATCCCACGAACACAAGTAGAAAAAAGGAAAACAAGCCTGTATTTTTCCAACAAGTACAACAAAGAAGGTACTCGCCCTTCCCCAGGCAGTATGGGGTGGGGTGGGTGTCCCAAATCTTTCATGAGTATACCTTTGACACACCTGTGTTTTTGTAGCTCTTAGTCCCCCAAGACGAAAAGCCTTCAAGAAATGGACTCCTCCTCGATCACCTTTTAATCTTGTTCAAGAAACTCTTTTCCATGATCCGTGGAAGCTCCTCATTGCCACTATATTTCTCAATCGGACCTCAGGTTTGTGGGTCATTGTCATGTGTGTCCTGGTGAGCAGAGAGAGAACCAAGCTGGGTAAGAGTCCCAGTTCAAGATCCGTTCTGAGTTTGTGACGTTGAACAAGCCTTTTCCCTTTCAGCCCGAAGAACTCTTCACCTATGGGAACATTAGACTGGATGACAGCCAACATCATTTTTAATACTGAGGGCCAGGTGGTCATTGATTTCCTACTTCTAGATTAGCTTTGGTCATCAGTGAAGGAGCAGCTATATTTTCCCACCCGTCGTCTCTCCTGCTTGGAAGCTCTCTGTGCTCACTGAGTGCATGTAGTGGTTATCTAGTGGTCTAGTGATTTGAAAAGTAGGCCATTTTCAGTATAATTTGGACTAGTAACCAAGTAGATGAAGTGTTGGTATTTGTTTCTAAGTGACTACTGGTTCCAGTAATGACTTAACGTACTTAAAGAAGCAAGGCTGGGAATGTAGGTCAGTGGAGCCCTTGCCCAGCATGCACAGCACCCCAATTCCATTTCCAGCACCACAAACACAGTAACAAGAAAGCTGATGCCTGAAGTTCCTAGATGAGAAACTACCTGGACACGAAGTCAGCCCTTCCCAAGATGTGTCTCCCGTTGTTTGCTTCCCAGGCAAGATGGCCATCCCTGTGCTTTGGGAGTTTCTAGAGAAGTACCCTTCAGCTGAGGTGGCCCGAACTGCTGACTGGAGGGATGTGTCAGAACTTCTTAAGCCTCTTGGTCTCTATGATCTCCGTGCAAAAACCATTATCAAGTTTTCAGGTATGTTCCCCTAGTCCCAAAGGAAGAAGCAAATTGTGCCCACTGAAGGCAGCCACACCTTAAACTTTAATGCCCTTGAATGTTCTATTAATTGAGGTCATTTAGCTCAAGCACCAAAGACATTTAAAACAGCCTGCTTGCCGCACCACAGACTCCTGCTGACGCAAACCATAAATCTTTGCCCAGCACTGAAGTAGCCCTGTGCATAGAAGCAGGAAGACATCTCCTCTGTCTGTGAGCAAAGCACAAGGGTGGGCAGGTGATGAGGATGCTGTCCCATCACAGGTGTAGGGAAGGGGACTTCCGTGAGGCTGACCACATGTGTGGGGTGTGTATCTTCAGATGAATATCTGACGAAGCAGTGGAGGTATCCGATTGAGCTTCATGGGATTGGTAAATATGGCAACGACTCCTACCGGATCTTTTGTGTCAATGAGTGGAAGCAGGTAAGTCCACCGCTAGCCATAGCAAATCCAGCACATTTGCCTCCAGAACAAAGAAATTCCACCAGTATGCTTAGATGTACGAGACGTGAGCCCTGTACAGTCCTAAGCAGAACTGCCCTCAGTTCGAGGAGCAGCAGGGGCATGAGGTTATGAGCTATAGGAAAGACTCCTCAGGTGCTGCCCAAGACCCTTTGCTTGTGGCCTCTGCTGACTTGAGTGGTCCATTACTCCTGACCCTGTTGCTGTCTTTTCCTGTCCTTGTTCTGTCTCTAACACCAACAGGGCTTCTTCCTGTTAAAAGGGGCCCCTAGAGCTGAGAAGAGATGGCTTAGCTGGTAAAGCGCTTGCTCTGAAGATCAAATTCAGATCCCAGAAATTACATAAAAGCCAGGCAGGGCAGCATGCAACTGCAGTCCCGGCTGTGTGGGAGCAGAAGCAGGAGGGTGCCTGGAAGCTTCTAGATCCCCCTGTCTAAGCTCGTAGACCAGATAGTCTGGCCTGTGTGGAGAAGTTCCAGGCCAATGAGAGACCCTTTCTCAAACAAAACGTGGAAGGTGGACCAGGGGCGTGGCTTAGCGAGTAAACATATTTGCTGCATGAGCCTGGCAGCCTGAGCTCCATCCCTGGAACTCACATAATAGTGGAAGTAAAGAGCTGGCTCTCACATGGTGCTCTGACCTTCATAGACATGCCTCATAGGCACAACTAATAAATTATAACTGAGTCCTCTGACCTCACACAGGCTTTCATGCCTGTACATACATAGCAAAAACAGGATCCTCTGGAAGAGAGCAAAGATTTGGACTTAGAGTGTCTAACTGCCAGGTTTTTCCTCGTATCTCAGACTGGAGTGTGGCATCTGGGTCCTAGTCCACTACCCATTCTATTTGTGCCCAGCACTGGTGCATTCTAATGGCAGCCTGGCAGCTGGAGGATATCCTGGCATGCTGCCCTCTCCCTCTTGCCCTAACATATTAAATCACTGAGGTTTGGAGAAACCCAGGCGGAAGGGCCACAGTCTTCCTTCACCACCAGAACAGTCTGTTTAGCCTCACAGGGTCTGTAACCTCCAAAAGCTGGGTGCTAACACTTGACTCATGTTGTCACTGCTCCAGGTCTGGGTTAGTTCTGTCCTGGAAAGTTCTTTGTAAACAATGCAGATTTCATGGGTCTAGAAAGATGGCTCAGGGCTTAAGAGTACTGGCTGCTCTTTCAGAGGTCCTGAGTTCAATTCCTAGCAACCATATGGTGACTCACAACCATCTGTAATGAGATCTGGTGCCCTCTTCTGGCCTGCAGGCAGACATACAGGCAGAACACTGTACACAAAATACATACATACATACATACATACATACAACAATGCAAGATTTCTGTCATAGAAGGTAGAATTGTAGACAGTTATGGTTGCTACTGGGTTCAAGTTCTCTGTTTATGTCAGATATATTATCATGATAAATTACATCAGCAAACCTTTAAAGGTGTTTATGACTGACATGTTGCTTTCTTCCAGGTGCACCCTGAAGACCACAAGTTAAATAAATACCATGACTGGCTTTGGGAAAATCATGAAAAATTAAGTCTGTCCTAAAGGCGCCTGTTTGAAGGTTTTTATGCATTGCTCTGTGCTTCCTTTTCTAAGAGCTGCTGGTGGACAGTGAACTCCCTTCCCAGGCATGTAGATTTTTTTCAGTTTGTTAGAAGTCAGTGTGTGTCCTAAGCCTCTGCCACAAGTAGATCTTTGTCAGTGAGTGTTGTTGACATATTTTAAATTTGAAAAGGTAACTGTTGGGTAATGGTCCTAAAAGTGTGTTGTTTTTCCAGTGATGAACAATGTGTTGGTGCTCGGCGCCAGTTATCAGCACTCCTGCTGAAGAAAAACTAAACGTGTGTTCTTTTCCTGTACAAAGTGATATTAGGCTGTACAATTGTCATATGAAGAAAGAGCCTGCCATTCTTATGGATATCCCAGTGTTATAATTAAATAGTGAGACATTTACCTTAGAAAGAAACCAAATAGAAACTTAATTGACCAACACATAGTAATACACACTTGTAATCCCAGCACTCAGGAGACTAAGGCAGGAGGATAGAAAGTTGACCGCTAGGCTATACTACATAAAGAGAGACTCTGTCTCAACAAACAAACAGGGCAGAGAAGTGGTTTAATAAATAAAGTTACCTGAATCCCATCCTCAGAACCAATTCCTGTGGGTTGACCTCTGACCTTCACTTGAACTCATACAAACATATTACATACATATATTTTTTTTTTAAATTTAAGATATGGTCTGGAAGAACAGCACCCTTATCAGCTCCTAGGGATCTGACACCTTCTGGCTTCATTGTGTGGGTGCCTTAGCACATGTGGCATCTATGTGCATATACCTAAAAAAAAATTAAGTTCTGATTACTAAACACTATTTTAAGATGGAATTTGAAAATTAAATTATACCTCTCCCTCCTCAAGGTAAACATCCACTCAAAATGCATAATATTGCATCCTATTTTTTATTAACAAAATATTTTCTAATATATCAGTAACAAAGGTTCACCTATGCCAATCATGTTGGTACACTACTATAATCCTAACACTTCGGAGTCTGGTCAGGATCATGGCAAAGTTCAAGGTCAGCCTGGGCTACATTTCAGTTTCTAGGACAACTTGGGCTACACAGGGAGACCCTGCCTCAGAAAAAACCCTAACAACCCACCAATGACACACACAGTAAGAAAATTAACAGGTGGGCATTGTGGAGCATATATATAATCCCAGCACTTGGGATGCTGAGGCAGGAGGACTGCTGTGAATTCAAGGCACCCTGGCTTACGGGAGTGTGAGAGCAGCCTTGGCTATATCAAACCCTGTATCAAGAAATATAAACTAGGGCTGGAGAGATGGCTCGGTGGTTAAGAGCACTGACTGCTCTTCCAGAGGACCCGAGTTCAATTCCCAGCAACCACATAGTGGCTCACAGCTGTCTGCAACTCCAGTTCCAGCAGAGCTGACATCCTCACGCAGACACGCAGGCAAAACATCAATGCACATAAAATAAAAATAAATAAATAATTTTTAAAAAATATAAACTAAACTTATTAGACTAAATAAAACTATGTTTGGAGAAGTGACTGGTTGTTCTTTTTAATGGAATTCTTTGGTTTTTGGAGAAAGGGTATCTCTGTGTAGCCTTGATTGTCCTGGAACTAGCTCTGTAGACCAGGCTGGCCTTGAACTCAAAATCTCCTGCCTGTGCCTCCTAAGTGCTGGGATTAAAGGTGTGTGCCACCAGCGTCCATCCCTGTTTAATGGAATTCTTCAGACTTGATGTACAAGTAGGTTTCATAGTATATTAGGTAACTAATAAAAATACTTTTATTAAAAAGGAAGGTTCCTTTGGAATCGCATGTTCTTGGCCACTCACAGTGGCTCTTAGGAACTTTGAATTTGACCGTAGCATCGCTGTGAGGATGTGAACATCTGTCTGCCTGTGACTCCTTTGCAACTCATTCCCTTATCCGTGATTCTTTGTGAAACCTCATCTCTTCTCCGAGTTAAGAGTGGGACCTTTTGATGTTAGTGCCATTTCCATGACAGGTGGTGTAGTGTCATGGTTCTAACCTCAAAGCATTTGCCTTAGAAATCACCAAATGAAGTCCTATATTATTAAGTCTTAATTGCCAATTGCCATTCTAAGGTTTAGTTTGAAAATTAAATCGAATGAAGGCAAAGTGAACCAACTGTCAGGAGGCCGTTTGTTGTGGGATAGCGTGTGCACAGGCAGATGTGCTGTGATGCAGGCTAATTGATTTTCCCCTCTGGTGAACAAGCGGCAGCTGTTACAGAGGGATGCTGGGGCTGGAGAGACGACTCAGTGGTAACAGTCGTGAGGTTCGGTTCCCAGCATCCTCCATGAAGGAGCATAGCTCCAGGGGAGCTGCTGCCCTCCTCTGACACCAGGCACACGGGTAGTATGCATACATACATGAAAATAGTACACATAAAGTAAAGAGAGATGCAGTTTGACCCAAGAACAGGACAGCTGGCCACACCCCTTCCACTTCACAATAACCCATCACATTTTCACCGACCTCACAGCAGCACACAAGTGCAGAGCCCTAGCTGGGGAGAGGCAAAAGGATGAAAAGGCCCTGTAGAGGCCTCCTAGAATGAGAGATCAGTGCAAACAGTAATGGAAGAGAACAAAAGGGGTAAGTGTGACACAAGCAGCTCAGAGCACAGAGGAACCTGGGCCACAGCTAAGGTTGGGTGTCAGAGCACAGTTCTCCAGCGTCAGCTGGGGTGTAACCCTGCAGGACAAGGCCCCCCCCTGGTCACCTCGGAGGGGAGCTCTGCCTGACTGGTCGCTGGGGCTCCAGACTTGCCTCTTGCCTTTCAAGTGGATAAGATCACTGGGCCTCCATACCTTTCCTCGTATCTCACTGGGATTCTGTTGCCTTGTTCTTGTGGTTTTGTGTTTAAATGACAGAGTGCCTCAGGTTGAAGAGTGTTAGGAAAATGAACTTGTTCAAATGTTGATCTTTGTTTTTGTCATAAAGTTTAGAAGTGACTGTTTCAGGGTCAGAGATGTAGTTCGACAGTTGTGTTTGCCTGGCATGCACAAGGCCTAGGGCTCAGTGCCCAGCAGTACAAAATAACTTTGTTTTTGGTTCTTTTTTTTTTTTTTTTTTTTTTGGTTTTGGTTTTTTGGTTTTTCGTGACAGGGTTTCTCTGTGGGTTTGGAGGCTGTCCTGGAACTCGCTCTGTAGACCAGGCTGGTCTCAAACTCACAGAGATCCACCTGCCTCTACCTCCCGAGTACTGGGATTAAAGGCATGCACCACCACCGCCCGGCACAAAACAACTTTGTTATTTAAGACAAGATCTCTCTGTGTAGACCAGGCTAGCTTCCAATACAGAGGTCTTCCTGTGTGCCACCACACTTGGCCACTTAAATTTTAAGTATTCAATGACGTAGTTTTTGTTTTTAGCATATCTGCGGTGCTGTACTAATTCCAGGACATTCCCATCACCCAACAGGAAACCCCATCCTAGTTAACAGTTAATCCTCCCAACACCCCTCCACCCCACCGCCTAATCCCTGGTCACCAGAAGCTGACTGTGTCTGTAGACTTGCCTGTTCTGGTCATTTTGTATAAATAGAACCCTCCAGTGTGAGGCTCTGAATCTGGCTTCTTTTGTTAACCGGAGGCCTCCTTGTAGCACGTGTCAGTACTTCATGTGTCTTTGAATGCACACCCCGTATTTCACCCGTTGGTGGACATTTCAAAGGGTTATTATTAGGACTGGTTCCCAGTCTGTTTCTGGTTTTGATTTTTAAAGATAGGTTCGCACTGTGTATCTGGCTGGCCTGGGATTCATCATGTAACACAAGCTGGCCTCAAACTTCTGTCTGTCCTCCTGTCTGCCTCTGAGCAGTGGGATATAAGCCGGTGCCACCATAACTGATTCCAGACCATAGTACCCAGTTAAAGTACCAAATCCTTTATTTGACCTTGACTCACTAGGGTTCTCACAGCCCAAGGGAATGTCGCACACTTTTTGAATGAGAAAAGTGAAGATGGGGAGTTCTGCCAGAAAACAAAATAGGGGAATTTTCACTTCATAATCAGAAGCCACAGGAAGGTGTGGGTGGCTTTCTTATACTGGCGGCGCCAGCCTGGGCCTAAATTGGACACTCCCAGCTTCCTGGTTTTCTCCCCTCCTGCTCCCAGCACATGGAAGCGCTCAGCCAATCAGTTCAGAGCATCTGTAGTTATGGCAACGGGTCTTAGTCGCTCAATAACTTCGGTTACCTTTTGCAACTCTTGAAGTTGATTGGCATCAACTGGCTAAGCCCGGTGTCTGTTCCACAACGCCGCCTACAGGAACCCTCTGGCTCCCAGCGGCAGGACCATTGGGAGAGGGCCAGGGTAGGCTGGAAGACTCATTGTGCCGTCTCAGCTCTGCGAGAAGGATTGTCAGGAGTTCCAGAAGGTCACAAACTCGTCCAGGATTCCCTTAGCTCGAGGAGTAGGCTGAATCCCCTGACTTGGAATCAGAACCGAAGCTCTTGTGTCTGGGACCCTGAATATTTCTGGGTTAGGCAACAATGCGTCCTATATTGAAGAAGAGTTCTGGAGAAGCCGGCTGCCCGTCCCCAGTAAAGTTCTCGACAAAGGGCTGTAGTTTGACAAGTGAAGGACACAAACAGGCGAGAAGAGATGTGGGGCCAGCGGGCCTGCAGGCTGGAGTCCTCGACAAGCCTCCTCCCCACCCAGCTAATGTTTCACAGAGTGATGCCGAGTCCCCTGGCTGCACTTCTCCGGCACAAAGTAAAAGTCTGCTCAAAATCCTGGCCAAATACATTGGGAGGACAAAGAGAGCAGCCACGCTGGGGGAGCCCCAGAAAGCCGAGGAGAAAAGCATCAGTCGGGTGACATTCAGCTCGACACCCGCAGACTTTGGTAAGTGAGGGTATTTTCATGGAGATAGTTAGATGGTACTGGAACCAGGGAACACATTTAATCTTAGTGGACACCTAGGACCCTGTAAACTATTGGAATGAGATGTTTTCAGAGCATCTAGATGCATGGCAGTGCTGGGATGGGGGTGGGTGGGGAAGAACCGGCTATCCCGTGTAGTGTTGATGCTTAGGAGTGTGTTGATGCTCAGGAATGTGCAGGATAACAGGAACCTAGGATGGAGGCAGCAGCTGAGAGGTATGAATCGTTAAAGGACAACGAGTGTGTTTTCTAAGACCAGTCGGTTCTGCAGGCTCTGTGGTTATGAGCACTTGCTCTTGCAGAGGACCCAAGTTCAGCTCCCAGCTCCCACATGGAGGCTCACAACCAATTATAACTCCAGTTCCAGGAATTCCAACACCTTCTGGCCTCTGTTGACCCTGCACACATATTGTGCACATACATACATTCACACAAAACATTCACACAAGTTAAAAAGAAATCCTAAAACAAAGAACTTGTCTGTGGGGCTAATTAAGCTCCATTAGTAGTCAACCCAGGGATTTTGGACCTCTTTGGGATTCTGTCACTATCTGAAAAGTGTGGCCAGTCATAGCACCAACCCCATGTCTACATTTGTCATTCATGAACTGTTTACTGAGCTCCTATTACATGGAAGCAGAGAATCAGACACAGACAAGGTCATGGTCTTCATGGAGCTGTTTACTAGAAAAACAACCAATGAATGCACCATGAGTCTCAAACAGGAAGGCCCCCCTTAAGCAGCTCTTAAATGAGCTGAGCTAAGAGGAAATGTGGGGAGGTACTGCAAGTTGGAGAGGCCATGCTCCAGGCTCAACTGGAGACTTTTTAAGCAAAGTGTCCAACTGTGTGAGGGCCACCAGTGTGCAGCTTTGAGTTCATGCAATTGTGTCCTAGCTTTTCTGTTGCTGTGATAGATACCATGATCAAAAACAGTGTGGGAAGGAAAAGGTTTATTTCATCTTATAGTTTATAGACCATCACCCAGGGAGGTCATGGCAGGAGCTGATGCAAATACCATGGAGGTGTGATGCTTATTGGCTTGCTCCTTATAGCTTGTTCAACCTGCTTTATTTTAGCACCTAGGACCACCAGCCCAGGGGTGGCACTACCCACATGGGCCCTCCCATGTCAATCATCAATCATGAAAATGCACCCAAGACTTCCCCACAGGTCAAGTTCTAGAAAAGCATGACAGAAGGCAGTCCTGCCAGTCCTTACTTGGGAGGAGGGTGACTTTGTCCTTAGGATGCCTAACTGTCTCCATTAACAACAGCACAGGGGGTCTGCTATAGCTTTTATGTATATGGGTGTTTTGCCTGCATGTGTGTCTGTGAACAATGTGTGTGCAGAACTCTTAGAGGCCAGAGAAGGGTGACAGACCCTCTAGAGCTGGAGTTACAGATGGTTGTGTACTGCCATGTGGGTTCTGGGAATTGAACCCAGGTCCTCTGAAAGAAGAACCAGTGCTTGTAACCACCATCTCTCCAACTCCCCCCACCCATATGTGTGTGTGTATGTGTGTGTGTATTTCAGCAGGTAGAGGACAGCTTGTGCAGGTGCAGGTGTGGTCAAAGGACAATTTGTGGGAGTCTGTTCTCTGCTTCCACCATATGGGCTTCAGGGATTGAACACGGTTGTCCAACTTGCCAGCACGTGCCTTTATCCATTGAGCCATCTCACCTGCCCACCTGCCATGTCATTACAAGTTGGGGACTGAGGAATGTAGCTAAGTGGCACAGAGTACTTCTCCAGCAAGCACCAGGTCCTGGGTTCACATCTTACCATCATGAAGAAGAGAACTTGTATGTAATGAACACAGATGTCTATATATAGATACATATATAGCAGTACACTTATGTACAAAGCAGCTCTGATAAACACCTCCATGCGTGATAAATTAGGTATCCATTATCCCCATCCTAAAGAAGAAAGTGAGACACAGAATGAGCAGGAAGCAGACTAGCACTCAGACCCAAGCTCTCTGGATCAGAGCCTTTGCTCCCACCAGAGGGCGCTGTGGTGCCAAGGATAGTCGGACAGGGTTGGAGTCTGTAGCAAAGTGTAGTAGGAGTTGGATACTGTGGGAAGGCCTTGGCTTTGTGCCTTCTGTTGGCATGCAGGTCACATTAGCTAACATCCTTTTCTTCACCATCATGATGAAGTGATGAGAGCCAGGCAGGGACCAAATGCCCTGATACACAGCCAGCCCAAGCAACAGTTTCCTTTCCCTGGCTCCTGTTACTCTTCTTCCAAAAAGGAACTCACCTTGTAACCCTCTTCTTCCAAGGGGTCTTCCCGTCTTACATCTCGATAAATGATGACATGGATGAAGAAGCCCCTAGCCACGGTCCTGTCTTCAATCCTGAGGTGGTCACTGCCCGTTGCTTCAGGCAGTTGAAAGAGAAAGACTTCCGCCTGCCACAGAGCCGCAGGCGAATCATCATTGTGCCTGGGACAAAGGACCAGGTGCCAGCCCACCCCACGATGCCCCCTAAAGCTCCCCCTCCACCCCCACCTAGCTTCAAAACTCTAGACATTCAAGACACCCAAGAGCCAGCAGTGGACAGGAAGGTCTGGCTGAGCCAGAGGGCAAAGCTCCGGAGGCAGCTGGAGACATTTGGTGATGTCAAGAAATGGCTGGAGAACAAGCCCCACATAACACCATCAGAGGCCAAGGTTCTGCTCATGATTCGCCAGGAGCAAAGAGCCCCCATAGATGCCATCACTTCAACAAGGAAACCCAAGGTGAGAAGCCCTGATGGCCAGAGGATGCTGAAGGCTTCAGGAGTCTGTTACCATTTTGTTTCCTTGGATTAGACAATACAAGGTGGTTTGCCCCTTTTTTCCCAGAGGAGCAAATGCAGTCCCCCAAAGGAAGGTGTATGAATTATCTATTGCTGCATAACAAATACCCCAGAGGGACTTTAAGGAAACAAATACTTATTATTGCATACAGCTATGTCTTACTCCGGAATCCGGGAGCCATCTAGCTGGGAGGCTTTGTCTCCATATTATGAGACTGTGACCCAGGGACAGCCTCTGATTTGACCAGTGCAGGAAGACAGATTGCCTTCCAAGCCTGTTCAAACAGCTATTGACCAGAGGTTTTATTGCTTCCCTCAGGGACCTCCCAGAGGCTGCAGACAAATTCTCACAATAAGAAGGTTAGCTGCCCCCAGAGTGAGCCTTCCAAAACAGAGAGGAAGGAAAAAGTCATAGTGCTGTTATGGCCTAGACTCTGGTCTTGATATTCCACAATGTCAGAATGAGTCACTGAGGACTGCCTGCACCATGGGGATGGAAAATGGATTCCACCTTGACAAGGGGACAGTCTGAGAACTCATAGATGTGCTTTAAATCACCCCAGCTGGGGCACACTAGCAGTCTGAAATGTGGACACCTGTCTGCTGGGAGGCACAGGTGCTGACCAGTGCTTGTGGGCTAGTTTGGGGATCACAACTGTGAGGTAAGGATGAGAAGGACCACATGGTGATGGCATCACCTAACTTGGAGTCATGGTTTGTACCCTGAGAATCGAAGTTCAATAAGACGATTAAAGCAGCCTAATAAATAATGGAGAACAGATAAAGGAGATTTATTCAATGTAAACAGGGACAAAGACATACAGTTCATCCTCCCCTCCAGTCCCTCTTTGGGTTCTGAAATGAGAGTAAAGTTTAACTAGAGAGTAGAGATGTGCACATCTAAGCAGTCCAATCATCTGCCACACTCTCTCTTCTTTCAGGGCCAAGCTCCCAGACCTGTTTATAACTCTCTACCCCAGTTGCGACTACCCAAGCCCTCTGTCTTGGCAGACTTGTACTCCTACCTTCGTAGCCGAAAGATCAAGATCCTGGAGGTATTTAACAGGGTGGAGCACGGTGAGAACCAGCTTATCTCCAGGGAGGAGTTTATCATGGCTCTGAAGGCAGTAAGTACAAGCTTCTCCACTGGGCCTGGGGTGTGTCCTACCTCTGGAAGCTCTGGGGTTCTCACACAAATGGGTTCACACTACAAACCTCATATTTGCAGAGCCACGCTGGGAAACATGGCATGACCCACAGTCAGATCACAGTCTTAAAAACACCTCCGCACCAGGCTAACCTAGAGAGGTGGCTCTTGGGGAGGACCCAGGTTCAATTTCCAGTTACATCCACTTCCAGAGGATCTGATGCCCTCTTCTGGCTTCTATGTACATTGCATGCACAAATATACAAAAATACAAGCAAAACATCCATATGCACGCTCAAGACAAACAATAAAACCGTCTACCATGCACTGGGGTGCAGCTCAATGAACAAGGCCTATCATTACATCACTAGTGCCTAGCAAAAGCCAATATCATACCTGATGCTAGAGAGAGAGCTCAGTGGTTAAAGCACTTGTTCTTCCAGAGGACAGAATTCAATTCCAAACACCCATATCAGATGGCCCACAACCACCTGTAACTCTAGGAACCTCTCCTGATGCTTTCTCCCTTCAGGGTGGGTCTTTGCACTTTAATTAAACTAAATCAAGACAATACCCGAGAGGTATGCCCAGAGGCTACCTTAATCTAAATAACCCCTCCCAAGTGCTGGTATTAAAGGTGTTTGCCACCTCTGACCATCTCCCAGTTTTTACTTTTGATTATGTGTATGTGTGTATCTATATGAGAATGTGTGCAGCACATTTGTGCTGGTGCCTGCAGAAGCCAAAAGAGGGCATCAGATCCTTGGAGCTGAAGTTACAGATGGTTGTGAGCAGCCAGATATTGGTACTAGGAACCAAACCCAAGTCCTCTGCAAGAGCAGCACACATCTCTCCAGCTAGGGCTTGAACTCAGCACCTTACGTAGATTAGCAAACTCACCACTACTGAACTATATACCCTGACATACAGTTTGAAGTCCAAATAACCAATTTTCAAACATTTTTATGAAATTATATGAAAAACATTCAAAACATTTTTTAAAAGATTTATTTATTTGGCCGGGCGGTGGTGGCGCACGCCTTTAATCCCAGCACTCGGGAGGCAGAGGCAGGCGGATCTCTATGAGTTCGAGGCCAGGCTGGACCAAAAGCCTCGAAAACAATACAGAGAAACCCTGTCTCGAAAAACCAAAAAAAAAAAAAAAAGATTTATTTATTTGTTTAACATACAGTATTCTGCCTGCATGTATATCTGCAGGCCGAAGAGGGCACTAGGTCTCTTTATAGATGGTTGTGAGCCACCATGTGGTTGCTGGGAATTGAACTCAGGATCTTTGGAAGAGCAGTCAGTGCTCTTAACCTCTGAGCCATCTCTCCAGCCCCCCATTCAAAACATTTTTTTTGTAATAGCCCTGTTGTCCTGGAACTTACTCTAGAGCCCAGGCTGGCCTCAACTTACAGAGATCTTCCTGTCTCTGCCTCTGAGTTCTGGGATTAAATGTGTGAGCCACCACACAAGGCTAATCTTTTTAAAATGCTTAAATATGAAGTCCATTAGCACCAGGACAGTTCTGAGCTGGCCCAGGACAGTTCAACAATGACTGTTGTCTAAAGGGAATGAACAGACAATTATACTCACAATTATGTTCCCTTTCAAACTTTCCTTTCTGAACACTGAATGTTTCTAGGAAGCACTGCGTACCTCCAAAGTTGTCTGTTGTCCTTTGTGTTAGTCAGGGTTCTCTATAGAAACAAAACTGATAGCAATACATCCACACGAATGGTGTCTATTAGAGCAGCTTACAGGTTATGGTCTGACTATTCCAACAGTCTCCTGATGGAAGGTTCAAGAACCCAATGGTTGTTCAGTCCACAAGGCTGGGCGTCACAGCTGTCTTCAGTATGTGCCAGAATCCCAAAGGAAGTAGGCTCTAATGCCAGTGAAGGACTGGGCTTGCCAGTTAGAGCAAGGGAAAGCAGGCAAAGAGAGAGAAAGCTTCCTTCTTCCACGTCCTTTATAGAGGCTGCCAGCAGAGGTGTGGCCCAGATTAAAGGTGAATCTTCCCAACTCAAAAGGTCTGTGGTGTATCTTCCCACTTCAAATGACTTAATGAAGAAAAATCCCTCACAGGCGTACCCAGCCACTTGGTGTTTAATTAATTCCAGATGTAGTCAAGTTGACAACCAAGATAGCCATCACATCCTTAAAAGAAGAAGGTCTATAGATTTCCGATATTTGGGTTGGGGCAGGCATACTTGTTGCTCATGGAGGGATGTATGACTTTCTTCCTATCCAGTATGTTAATCAGCTGAAAAAAGACTTCCTAAGGCTTATCTGGCCTGGGTTCTGAAGGAGGGATAGGAGTTTTATAGGCAAAAATAGTAAACTGCCTGGGTAAAAGCGAGGTGTGATAAATTGCAGAGTACATTTGGGGACCTGGCAAGGGCTCTGCACTCCTGTGGCAGCAAGGAGTTGGAGGGCTGAGCAGGTTGGCCAAGCCTATTGGTTAGGATGAGGTAAGCCTCAGGAAGTTCTTGTGCCTCCTCAGATTGGAGTTCCTCTGAAGAACCAGGAGCTGGAAGATATAATCATCTACCTTGGCTCTCTCGGGAAGCAGAATGCCATCACCACCGATGCCCTGGCCAACACCTACAAGCAGTGGTCACTGGCCCAGCAGAGAAGCACCTTGCCCACTGCCAAGGAGTGTGCGTGCCCTCTCTGCTCTCAGCGCCAGGCTGGCTCTCCCCACATTTACATCCTCAAGTGGCACCCCCTTCTCTGGCTTGCTATAGGTTTGCCAAGCTTGGGGTTTCCAGACACGGAGGTCAATGGGGAAGCAGATATTTTCTCAAGGGCCCAGTTGCCCTTTTGTCTATTCAAAGATAAAGTTCATCTTGTGTCCTTAGATGGACATAAGTGATTGATTTAAAACAAAACTGAGGACTAAGAATGTAGAGCAGTTGGCAGAGTGCTTGTCTAGTGTTCAAAGCCCTGGATTCCATTCCCAGCACTGCATACACCAGTCATGGTGGCACACATCTACAATTATAGCACTCAGGGTGGAGGTGGGAGGGTCAGAAGTTCAAGGTCATCCTTGGCTATGTGGAGAGTTTGAGGTCAGTGTGGGATACAGGAGACATTATCTGAAACAGAAAAGAAAAAGAAAAAAGGAAAGGTTAACTAAAATAGCTTGCTCACAAACTGAATGAAGACATTTGGCGTTAGCTGGGTCGGGCTTTCTGTCATCATGGATGTGATAAGTAGGGATGCTGTGCATGTCATGTTTATCCTCATGTGCAACAAGAGACAAGCTAGAAAGGACTCTCTAATATGTGTTGCTACGAGTTTACAGCACACACCTCTGTGTTTTTTTAGACAGGGTCTCTCTACATAGCTCTGACTGACCTAGAACTCACTCTGTAGACCAGGCTGGCCTGGGACTCACAGAGCCCTGCCTGCCTCTGCTTCCTAAGTGCCAGGATACAGGTGTATGCCACCATGCCTGTTTTTTATGAAGTGCTGGTGTTGAACTCAGGGCTCTGTGCACTAGGCAAGCACTCTACCAACAGATCAATGCCCCTCAGCCCCTCTTATTTTAAGTTTATTGTTTGGGGGGAGGGAACCACAGACAACAGCAACACTCCAGCTCCCTTTCAAATAGAGCAACATCATCATTTGTTTAAGTGGAATGGGTCTCCCTCTGCCCCTCTCCACCAGGCTGGTAGGAAATTAACCTCAGACACATTTTAGGGAGGGGTGGGGTTCTGTCCCTTTGAGATGAAATCAAACCATGAGGAAGTAGTTGAAGGACCTTTCTTGCAGGGGTGCCAAGTTGAAGCAAGGTTTCTAGAGTTGGGGTGAATAGCCACACCAAAGGTATGCATGTCCCCCTGGTGTGGTGTCCTTAGGTGGCCGCTGCATAGTGCAAATGCCCCAGTTCTGGCTCCCAGACCTCCTGTCTGGGGCTGTTATGGACACACTGACACTCAACTCCACCCTCACTCCCAGGAGGGTCCTTGACCCGTCAGAACCCAGGAAACTCAAGTGTCCTCACAGCTTCGATGCCCATGGTCAGCACCTCCTCTGGGTTGCACTTTCCCACTCTGCTCCTCCCAGAGTCTTACGAATGCCCAGAGCTACAGGGATCTCACAGCTGGCTGGAGTCACTAGAGCACAGTACTCAGCAATACTAGCTAGTTATAGTCAAAGGATTTCAATACACAGAGTGGTGGTGAATGCCTTTAATCCCAGCACTTGGGAGGCAGAGGCAGGTGGATCACTGTGAGTTCAAAGCTAGCCTGGTCTATGGAGCTAGTTCCAGGACAGCCAGAGCTGTTATACAGAGAAACCCTGTCTCGGAAAAAAATTTCCAACACATATACATCCCTCCCACCCCCCACCTAGAAAAACAAAATGAAACCCTATCTTAACTTGAAGGTAGGCATCACTTATTTATTGACTGGTGTTATTTCAGCATCATCAGAACTCCTTGCTCCTGGAAGGTGGCAGTGTGTACGACAGGTGGACTTGGGGAAGAGTCTCTCAGTTTGTCTAAAGAACAAGCTTCTGGGTGCCTGGACTCAGACAAGGAGCATCCTGCATCTCTAGGGCACCATGTGGGCTGGTTGCATGTGCACAATAGTTTATCCTGCCTTTTAGGTTAGGGCTGCTATACATGGTTTCCATGGAGGAAGCAAATGTCCAGAGAGGCTGAGCTTGTCTGGAATGTCAGGAGGCAGTGGGGCCAAGATTTTACCTCAACATGAGGCTGCCACCAGGACCATGTCAAGGTGTGAGAGTCCTTTCATTGGTCCCTGTTTTGGAAGTATCTCCCAAATGCTAGGCCACCTGTGGGAACTGGGATACTGTGGTGGTGCAGCCCAAGCCCTGCCACCATTAGCTCACAGATGGTAGGGTGATGTCCACAGAAATGATGCCTTGGAGACAGCTGGAGGGTGAACCAGGATGGTAGTCAGGCAAAGACCCTGAGCTGCAGCTGTTGCTCTGCCCCCTGAGTGACTGGTGCACAGCCAGTCTGCAAAGGGCTTCTAAGGCAGGTGAAACTGCCAGGGTCAAGGGCCTGGAGAAGGGAAAACTTTTGGGGTGCAGGTGAGAACAGCACAGGTAAGGGGCCACTACAAGATGAGGAATAGCAGCTGAAACAGATTCCCACAGGTCCTTGTGTCCAGGGAAAGGAGTCTGCTTTAGAGTGTGTTCCCTGAGGAGCTCTAGCTGTCCTAGAACTCACTTTGTAGACCAGGCTGGTCTTGAACTCACAGAGATCTGCCTGCCTCTGCCTCCTGAGTGCTGGGAGTAAAGGTGTGCGCCACCATTCCTGGCTGCCGTTTTATAAGGGTTCTGTTTGCTACTTGGTGGGAACAAGGTGACAGAGAAAGAGGAAGGAGCAGGGAACAGGTGTGGGGTATTCAGATAGGGGACTTCATAGCAATGCAGGGAACAAATTCACAGTGCCCTCAGATGGGCACTGGCTGGACATATGGGAAGGGGGCAGAAAACCATGTTGGCATCAGCTCAGTGGCATCAGTTTGAGGTCCACAGCTGAGTACCTCCTAGCCCTTCCGTCTTTCCTTCCAATTTTAGATTACAAATTGACTGGGAAGAGAGCTTCTCTGAAGCATACCCAACAAAAGCAGCAGGCTGTCCCAGCCCCACAGCCTCCCAAGATGGACCTGCTGACGGTACCAGAGGTGGATACAAAGATGGAGGGGCGGCCCATGACAGAGGAAGACATGGAGGATGCCGGCAAGCGGTACCGAGAGAGGCGGAGGCGATGCAAGGTACCTGGGCAGGCCAGGGTTCAAGACGTGGCATGGCACCTGCTAGTTGGGGAGCCCTTGTCTGTTATCTGTGCAGTAGGCAGCTGAGTGTGGTGAAACACCCATATAGTCCAGTATCCAGGAGGTCCAATCACAGGATTATGAGTTTGAGACCAACCTGGGCTACATAGAAAGATCCTGTCTTAAAAAAAAAGATCCAGGGCTGGAGAGATGGCTCAGAGGTTAAGAGCACTGGCTGCTCTTCCAGAGGTCCAGAGTTCAATTCCCAGCAACCATATAGTGGTTCACAACCATCCGTAGTGAGATCTGGTGCCCTCTTCTGTCATGTAGGCAAAACACCATATACTTAATAATAAATAAATAAAATCTTTTAAAAAAATCCAATGGGATACATGCTTTTAATCCCAGTAATGGGGAGGCAGAGGTGGGTGTGAGACCAGCCTGGTCTACACAGTGAGTTCCAGGACAGCTAGAGCTACATATTGAGATTCTGTCTCAAAAAGAAAGGAAAAGAAACAGAAGAGAAGAAAAAGGCAGCCAGTGACAGTGGATGGCACTTCCCAGCCCCTCTGCCCTGGCGATGTGACTTCTACCTCTGGGTTACACACAAGTGGCTAATGCTGATTTAGAGTCCCCAGCAGCCAAAGACTCGCCAGTTTTCAACAGGACTCTTCTGAGGCACTTACCGCTACCGTGCCTTCTTACAGATACCACAGTCACATGGCCACATCTGGTAAAAGGCTGTATTCCCAGGACTCAGGTGCCAAGTGCTCAGAGCCCCTGAGGGGTAACCTTGACCTCTCAGTTGCTGCTTTTGGAACCTGAACTGCAGTCTCACTGTGCCCTGTTCTTCACGGTGGTGGTGGGGGGGCCTCTCTGAGGGAGGCGTGGGAGGTGCCATTCTGCCTTCCAGCTAGAACAAACGTCACAAAGACATGAGGTGGAGCAGACTCTGTTTTCTCTGCAGCTCTGTTTCCCCTCCATCCAATACATGGAGAGCTGCCGGCTGGTTCGATCTGGGACGAAGCCCTTTGATGAACACTGCCTGCCGTCCACCATTTCTGGAGATACGGAGATGCTGGTCAACAGGGCCCGCAGGGATGCCTTCCTGGTCTACCTGCGGTGCTGGGAACTCTGTGAGGCCTATGGTCTCCCACTGACTGAGGACATCCTCATGAGAGGTAGGGCCTTGCTTCAAGGGAGAGCCTGGGGCCTGAGCCACAGCTAATGTGGAGTTGACCTGACACTGGCTTCCCCATACATGTGCCCAGCCAAGTCACTGTGGCCTTTGGTGGGAACACTGGGAAGGAGGAGGGAAGGCAGACAGCCTGACTGCTAGGTGGGACTCCTAGACTCTGAGCACACAGGCTCCTTAGGTGAGATGGGGGAAGGGCTGCATTCTGGAGCTCTGCCTCCACTCACTAGTACCCACCTACCCACACGCACTCATATGAACGCATAGACACATGTACACGTGAACGCATGCACCCACGCACACACACCTGTAAGACAAATTCAAAATAAGGCTAGGTGGATGGTGGTATCACACTCCATTAATCTCAGCACTCAGGAGGCAGAGGCAGGTGGATCTCAGAGAGTTTGAGGGCAGCCTGGTCTATAGAGCAAGTTCCAGGACAGCCAAAGATACACAGAAACTCTGTCTTGAAAGAAAAAAAATTACCAAAGTAGGTCTAAAGTCTGGGAATGGAGTTCAGTGGTAGATTGCTTGCTTATCAAACATACACACACATACATACCCAAACACATACACATATTCAAATACACACACACACACAAAATCAAATACTCACACACATTCATGCAAGCACACGCACATATAAATAGGCCTAATTAGCCTATGAAGTCTGATTGAGTACTCTCTCCCCTTCCCTGCAGAAAATAAATAAATAAATGTGATTTTACATAGTTGAGAGCCAGTGAGATGGCTCAGCAGATGAAAGCACTTGTCGCCAAGCTCTCATGACCTCAGTTCAGTACCCAGAATCCACATAAATGCAGAGGGAACGGACTCCACAAAGTTGTCTTTTTTTTTTTTTCCTTTGGCTTTTCGAGACAGGGTTTCTCTGTGTAGCTTTGGAGGCTGTCCTGGAACTCGCTCTGTAGACCAGGCTGGCCTTGAACTCACAGAGATCCGCCTGCCTCTGCTCCCAAGTGCTGAGATTAAAGGTGTGCACTACCAACGCCCGGCCACAAAACTGTCTTCTAGCCCTCACATATGCATCTTGCTACTGTACTTACCAAGTCATCTTGATAGCTCAGGAAACATACTCTCTTAAATAGATGCATAAATTTTAAATTGTTCCCATGTGACCCTAAACTAGGCAACTTGGGCTAATGGACCAACTGTCTTTTTTGCTGCCCACAGCACTTCTGTATCCGGGAGACAAGATCATTTCTCTGAATGAAGAAGTCCGCCCGATCCGGCAGCCTGGAGGCTATTATGTAGACGAGAAGATTGTCTATAGCCTGAGTGGATTCGGGATCCAGGGCCTCTACATGCTTGGGGAGAAGAAGCCAGACAAGCTGAGTGTCAGGTTGTCCTTTCAGCTGCAGGAGCTAGGATACTGGCATGCATGTGGCGTTATGTTGTATCAGTATCTGTGCCCCTACTTAATTATCACTTCCGACTAGCCAGTCCCAAATGTACCCTTAGTGCATGTCTTAGGGCCACACAGCTACCCTGCTCACCACAGGCTTATACAATCATAAGGCCAGTGGAAAAGATCCAAAGGGGTGTTATCTTACCCTGCAGCAGAAGCTGGGGCACTCTGCAAAGGACAGGGACTAATTCCTTCCCTGTACTGCCACCTTGTGGCAGGTGCATACCTTCTCCAACAAGAGACAGCTTCATAACCCCGGAAAACAAAATGCTGCCCTGACCCTTAGACTAACTAGCCTGAGTCCTCTGAAAGTAACCTCCTTTAAGAGATCCAAAGTCAAGTCCCTTTCCACTCCCACCAGATGTGAACCAAGTAGGAGGCAATACTATGGCTAACATTAGTCGTGACTGCAGAAGAGAGGATGAGATGGTACCCCAGCAGACAAATGGGCTGGAGTGGCAGAATGCCTGGGGACAGGCTGTCAATAGCCAAGTCACTGTGCCCTGAGCCTCAGCGTCTTCATGTATAAAGTGGATTCGGCACTCCTATCATACGCCGAGAGGTTAGACAAGGGTCACAGTGTGGCTGATGCTTTACGTTGCTCTTGTACTGGTGTTCTTGAATACAGCTGCAGTCTAGGCCCACAGCAGTTGTGGCTTGCAAACTGCTGAGGGTGACCCAGGCTGAGAGTAGTTTGAAGGACCTCTGAGATGTGCCTTCTAACCTGTCACCAATTCCTAAGTCATGAATACAGGAAGTGAGCAGCTGCCCAGGAAAGAGATTTTTGCTTGTGTTTGACCAGCCACAGGTGTAGGGGCCTGGAAAGATGGCTCAGCTGTTAAGAGGTCCTGAGTTCAATTCCCAGCAACCACCACATGGTGGCTCACAGCCATCTATAGTCAGGATCTCAGCCCTCTTCTGGAATAAAAGAGTACATGCAGATAGAGTACTCATATATATTAAACAAAAAATTTTTTTTCGAGACAGGGTTTCTCTGTATTGTTTTGGAACTCGCTCTGTAGACCAGGCTGGCCTCTTGAACTCACAGAGATCTGCCTGCCTCTGCCTCCCAAGTCTGGGATTAAAGGCATGCACTGCCACCACCACCACCACCAGGCAATAAATAAAATCTTAAAACAGATGGAGAGAGAGAGAGAGAGAGGTCCCCTAACTAAAGGAGGGACATTGGCTCTCTCTCAGCACTAAGGACTAGACTGTAAAAATCCTGAGGCCAGGCTCTGTGGGTAGAGAGTATACAAGGCCCAGAGTTCAATTTTTTGTATTAGAAGAAAAAAAAAAACACCAGAAATTCTGAAGCCAGATGTGGGCTTGGGAAGGAATTGGTGATTAGTTAGTGATTCCTGCTGGGCTAAGGTATGGAGGGTGATTCTTTACCATGCTTGTCCCACAGAGCTTAACCTCTGGAAGGGGAGTGGGAGTTAGGCTTCAGCATCTACAAATTGCTGAACACATCACTGCCCAGCTCGTGGAGTTTCTCTCCTAACAATGCCTCTTTCTATTCCCCAATAGGAAAACATCAAAGAAACTCAAGAAAATGCACTTCCAGGAGTTTGAGGAGTTTACTGGGTCTGTAGTAGTCTTTGTGTGTCTTGGAGGGTAGGGGTGAAGATGATAGATCTGGCCTCCCCTCCAACCAGAGGTAGCTCTGGGACCCATGCACATTGGACAAGATCCTAGAACTGGTGTGGGGTTCCATGCCCAAAGCCTAAGGGGCAGTAGAAGAGCATTCAGAGAGTGTCAGGCATGGCTGCCCTGGGGCTTCCTATGAGTGAACTCATCTGTGTTGTTACCAACAAGCCTGAGTTGCTCTGCACGTTCCAATAGGAGAGGATACTGACACACAGTCCCACATCCCACATCTGAAGCTGAACCCTGGGAGGCTGACTCCTGAGGCTAGATTCCAGACATGACATCCAAATGCTTCCAGTTGGGGCTGGGTGTTGCTTAGCTGGGTACTAGCCTAGAGCATGTGAGGTCCTGATTTCTATACCCAGCTGCGCAGGACAGGTGAGGTGAAGGGGTTGGGGGGAAGCAAGTCCTCTAGAGCAACAGTTCTCATCTTGTAGGTTGTGATGACCCCTTAGAGACTTGTACGACTCTTTCACAGGGGTCTCCTAAAACCATTGGAAAACACTTATTTACATTACGATCATAAGAGTGACAAAGTTTTAGCCGGATGTTGGTGGCGCACGCCTTTAATCTCAGCACTAGGGAGGCAGAGGCAGGAGGATCTCTGTGAGTTCGAGACCAGCCTGGTCTACAAGAGCTAGTTCCAGGACAGCCTCCAAAGCCACAGAGAAACCCTGTCTCGAAAAACCAAAAAAAAAATTGACAAAATTTTAGTTATGAAGTAGCAACGAAAATAACTTTGTGATTGGAGGTCACCACAACAGGAGGAACTATGTTAAAGGGTTGCAGGGTTAGGAAGGGTGAGAACCACTGTTCTAGAGCAAGGACAACACACATCAAGGTTTGGGTTTAAGAGCAGTGACTGGGGCCTGAACTCAGCCACTCATTCACTGTGTAGTCTTGACCTCTAGACCTCTGCGTCCTCACCGGTAAGGGGACTTGAGGTGTGTAGTACTTTCTACACTGGAGAGCATGGTCACAGCTCGTGTGATCTGCTGAGAAGGAGCCCTACCTGGACTCTCTGCCACAGCAGCCTTCCCTGTCTTCTCCTTTTGCAGGAAGCTGAAGGCCAAGAAGCTCAGTGGTCTCTCATCTACCCACCCCAATCACTTCTGGCCTGGTCACCTTCTGGATAAGCTGCGGCTCTATCTGCCCACGGTGGCCACAGACAAGAGCCAGGCAATCTTCAGCTATGTGGAACACAAGTGCCATGCTTACCCTACCACCCGCCACTCTAAGGAATGGTGGCCCATGAAAGACTGGGCATACATGATATATGCCAATTATGATGCAAACAAGGTGTATTCCATCAACTAGAGTGGCCTGAGGGCTGCTGGACCAGAAGCTTCAGGGGCCCACAGCTGCAGACATGAGATATCAAAGGGCCATACAAAAGAAGCATTCCCAGGGATGGTCTAGAGCCGTGTCCCCTCATGCCACAGTGTCCAGTGTCTGGGAGTATGCATGTGTCCAGGCACATATGTGCTGTGTTTACTACCCTTTCATGACCTCTGTCCTTTTGAAATAAACCAGGTGAGAGTTGACCTGTAGCCTACCTGATGTCATTTCCTGCTTAAGGACGGGGAAACTTGAAGGTATGAGTGTGTAGGACACAGGTTCCCCAGGACACCTCCCACCTCTCATCCTGGGACATTAGTGCCCACAGGGATGCAACAGAAAGTGTCCACTGCAAAATGAGGTATCAGCAGTTCTTATCTCCCCCATTTGATTGGGGTCCCCAATCCCTGTGGGTCCTCAGAAATCAGAGCCATACTCTGTATGGCCTTCCCTGATCCACTCACTTGACTTTCCCTTTGTGAAATGTACTGCAAGCTACCATTAGCTGTGCACGTCCATGCTCCACATACCATTGGATTTCATGTAGTCCGTAAGATAAGCAGTCCTCGGGAAGAGTGGGCAAACCCCAGGCACAGGAGAGCTCCAGTCCTACCCTTCTGCTTGCTAGCGAGCCGTCGCAGGCTTTACTTCGCAGGGTCTCTACCCCTGTTACAGGCAGCACCGCAAGCATTCCTGCCCTCATCCCATCTCACTTCCTGTCGGGGCAAAACATCCAGATTAGCATCTGTCCCTATTCTGGAACCACTGTCAAGGTCACCAGTGACATCTGCTGTATTCGAGTTGTAGAATCAATTGTTTAATTTTTTAAGGTTTATTTTTCCAGACAGTGGTAGCACTTGCCTTTAATCCCAGCATCTAGGAGGCAGAGATAGATCTCTGAGTTCAAGCCAGCCTGGTCTACAGAGTAGAGTTCCAGGGCAGCCAGGGCTACACAGAGAAACCCTAGCTCTAAAAACAGGAACAACAAAAAAGATCTATTCTGTGTGTTTGAGTGTTTTTGCCTGCATTGCATGTATGTGTATGTGCCCACAGAAGAGGGCATTGGATCCCCTAGGATTGAAGTTACAAGTTTGTGAGGTAACACATGGGTGCTGAGAACTAACCCTGTGTCTGCTACAAGAGCACCAGGTGGCCCCGGGCGTTGGTGGCACACGCCTTTAATCCCAGCACTTGGGAGGCAGAGGCAGGCGGATCTCTGTGAGTTCGAGGCCAGGCTGGATCGACAGCCTCCAAAACAGAGAAACCCTGTCTCGTAAAACCAAAAAAAAAAAAAAAAAAAAAAAAAAAAGAGCACCAGGTGCTCTTAACCACTGAGCCTTCTATCCAGCCCTTGGTTTGATTTTATATCCCCCTAAAATTAATTTTTCACAATGATCAGACAAACAAAAGCTAGGCAAAATAGACTGGGACAATTTTAAAGTGAGGCAGATGAATAGAGACGTGGATCTTGGACAACTGTGACAAGGACATAAAATCGAAGGGTAGCTACTATAGCCTTGTTTTATAAGGAAGGTTGGCCCTCCATAACCCATGTTCCACAGATGCATTCATTGATTCAACCAACTGAAAAATGAGTATATTCAAAACAAAACTGCATATGTATTAAGTACACAGACTTTGTGTGTGTGGAGGGGTGTGTCTCACTATGTACCTCTGGCTGGTCTGGAATTCCCTACAGCTTTGAATTAAAAGAGATCAACCTATCTCTGTCTCCCAAGTTCTGGGATTAATAGGCGTGAACCACCACCTTTCTTGTCATTATTTCCTAAGCAATATATCAGTCTAGCACTTATTAACTGCCCTAAGTACGTACCATGAGTAGAGATGATTTAAAACATACGGAAGATACGGGCAGGCTTCGTAGCACTTCATACTCCAGGAGTTTGAGCAACTCTGTATTATGATGTTTTGGGGCAGTTGTTCAACCAACCGCCTGGGGAACCTGTCAAAGAATTATCTGTTTTGCTACCTCCTGGCCACTAGGAGACGCACTCGGGAGCGAACACATATTATAAACCGATTGGGCTTTCACTTAGGGCGGAAGTAGATGCCCACCTAGCAGGTCTTAGCTCAGAAAGAATTCTAAATTTCCTAAGTAGTCCGAAGAGAAAGATTAGCCTTTAGTTCGCTCCAAGATGTTAATGTATGCTATAGGACACTAGTAAACACTTTTTTTTTTAGCTTTACTTTCAGACTCGTCTTAGGTTCCTTTGGAGGACCCAGAGCCGGAAGTGCTTCACTTTTCCCTACCAGGACCTGAGGCTCCTTTCCATCATCCCTTGCGCGCCCCGCCCCTTCCTTCTTCCTCGGCGCTACCTGCGAGGTGGCTGCCATCTCTTTCGCGGTGAGTCTGCATCGCCTGCCATCCGCCCGTCTGTGGGTTCTGCGCGGCCCAGTCGCCGGGTGGGGAGGCCTTAGCATCGCCAGGTGGGGAAGCCTCGGCGTCGGACTCGCGCTGGCGCCGCAGTGGCGAGCGCGCACGGGCCCGGCCTACTGGCCGCCCGCGCTGCTACGGCGTCCGCCCAGGGCCAGGCAGCGGCCAGGGCCGGTTTGCTGCCACGCGGCCGGGGGACGTGGGATGCCGCACGCGGTTTCTCCTTCGCTCCCAGGCCGCCGGGCCGCTTGGTAGCAGGAAGGGCCTCCGCTGCCTTGCCTTCGAGGTGCCAGGGGGCAGAGGTTCCTGCTAAGCCTGTGTTCGTTGGGCATTTAGCGCGTGCCCGACAAAGCAGATTGCCTGTGGAGGCAGCAGAGAAGGTGCCTTTCTGTGTGTGCCCCGAAGCCATCCTGGAGGGATACTGTCTGGTGGTGTGCAGGATGCAGGGGTGGTTTTCCCTCTTTGGTGGTTGTGGAGCTTTAGTGTGGCGGGGTTTGCTGCCCCTTGCCCACTAGAATGTTGGGCTTCGGGTTATAGGTCGGCTGCTGCCATTCACGGAGGTCAGAATGGGTGCGGTGACCCCTGACCTCTTGAGATCGCGTCTGGAGAGTGGCTAGTATTCTTCCAGCTTCGGAAGCAGGAGGGAGAACAAGCCTAGCAGAGGTACCCATTCCATTCCCAGTTTGCTTAGTAGCTGGTGATTGGAAGACACTCTGCGACATCACTCAGGCCTTGGGCAACAGAGCTCTCCCTTCCTGGTTCTCCGGTAACGTCGATCTGCCTCTTCCCATAGGCATCATGGCTGCCCTCCGCCCTCTGGTGAAGCCCAAGATCGTCAAGAAGAGGACTAAGAAGTTCATCCGGCACCAGTCAGACCGATATGTCAAAATTAAGGTGTGCGGTTCGGGTGAAAGTGGGTGCTGGGGGGCTAAGCTGTAAGCACATCTGTTCTGGTCAGTCCTTCGATCAAAGTGGGGTTTTTTTTTTTTTTTGGTTTTACGAGACAGGGTCTCTCTATCGTTTTGGAGGCTGTTGGTCCAGCCCAGCCTCGAAATCACAGAAATCCGCCTGCCTCTGCCTCCCGAGTGCTGGGATTAAAGGCGTGTGCCACCACCACCCGGCTTAAAATGATAGCATTTTTGTGTGTGTGAAGATCAGGAGTTGATTCTCTTCCTGTGGGTCACCGTGAACAGGCTTGGGTTGCCGGCTTGGCAGCAGGCACTTACCCTGAGTCGTCTCTGCAGCCTAACCGTAGTTTTTAAAGATTTTTTTTCTCCTGAGACAGGGTTTCTCTGTAGCTTTGGAGCCTGTCCTGCAACTCGCTTTGTAGACCCGGCTTAAAGATGTATTTATGTTCGTGTTTTATGTGTATGGGATTTGTCAGCACATAGAAGAGGGCATCAGATTTGAGTGCTGGGACTTGAACTCTACCTCTGGAAGAGAAACCAGTGTGGCCCCAGCCTACATGTTTTGCCTGCTTGTATGTCTGAGGGTGTCAGGTCCTGGAGTTGCAGACAGTTGTGAGCTGCCATGTGGGTGCTGGGAGTTGAACTTGGGACATCTGGAAGAGTAGCAGTGGTCTTAACTGCTGGGCTATGGCTCCAGCCCGCCAGACCACCCACCCACTCCCCGCCTACCTTATTTTATGAGGCAAGACTTCTCACGGGGCCCAGAGGTCACCAGTTTGACTGGACGAGCATGTACAGCCGGCACTTCACTGATCTCTCCTCCACAGGCAGAGCCCTGTCTTTTTGAAACTCAGAAGTGGGAAGATAAGTTGAAATTCTGATCCAAGTGCCAGGGATGGAGCCCAGGGCTTCATGCATCTTAAGCAAACATTCTACCAGCTGTTTTAATGGGCAGTAAACTTGGGTCTTGAGAACAGTACATAATAGTCTTGTCTTACTTGGGCCCATGCGGGTCTGGCTTTGTGGTCAGGTGTAGGAAGGTTTGGTTTTGTTGGGAGATTGTACAGCCGAGCCACAACCTTGGAAGCTCCGATCCACCGCCCCCTGCTAAAAGTTGACTTTTTTTCCTTCGGTTTTTCAAGACTGGGTTTCTCTGTAGCTTGGGAGGAACTTACTCTGTAGACCAGGCTGGACTCCACTCAGAGATCCACCTGCCTCTGCTTCCCCTGTGCTGGGATCAAAGGCATGTGCCACCATCGCCCGGCTGCATGCCTTTAATCTTAATCCCAGCACTTGAGAGGCAGGTGGATCTCTTGAGTTCTGAGGCCAGCCTGGTCTACAGAGTGAGTTCCAGGATAGTCAGAGCTACACAAAGAAACCCTGTATCAAAAACAAAAGTGTATGAAGAAGTAGGAAGGTATGTTACTCCAGGGAGCGTCCTATATGGCGTGTCCCCCTTGAATTTAGCTCTCCTACCTGCCAAGGAAGAGCTGGCAGTTTGCACAGAGACTAACTTGCTTGTGTGTCTTCAGCGAAACTGGCGGAAACCCAGAGGTATTGACAACAGGGTTCGGAGAAGATTCAAGGGCCAGATCCTGATGCCCAACATTGGTTACGGGAGCAACAAGAAAACTAAGCACATGCTGCCTAGCGGCTTCCGGAAGTTTCTGGTTCACAACGTCAAGGAGCTGGAAGTGCTGCTGATGTGCAACAAGTGAGTTGGGTTCTGGCCTGGTTACGGTGTGCCTGCCTTTGAGCGCCCCTGGGGAGGAGTCCAGGGTTCCCTTGGTTGAGGGGACGTGTGCTCAGAAGGCTTGAGACACCCGAGACTGGAGAAGGGGCGTCTCCTTTGGTACAGTGGGTGTACTTTATAGTCCTGTGGTGATGTGAGAAGGGAGGGATTCTAACTTTGGACCCAAGCAATGCTTGGCTCTGCCGTGACGTGGATTTGCAGGGTTGTGCCAATATGTAGGAGCTGAGGTATAGAAAAGAAGGCTGCAGAAGTTTTCTGAGTAATTGGAGCAACTTGAAGCCCTTGTGTGAGATGCATGGCCAGCCCCGTCAAAGCCAGGCCTCTACGAAATGCCTTTGACACTGGGTCTGGGTGGGGATGAGGATGGGTTAACAGTGCAGTTGGTTTGTTTTTCTTTCCTAGTAAATAGGTTGGGAAGCTGCATTTATTTTTTCCCAAGTCAAATAGGACTGCAGAGAGTGATTAGAGGTTGTGTGGGAGGGGTTGTAAGGATCTGTTCTCTGGGGTGGTTGTAATACAGATGGAGGGAGTCAGTCAGCACGGGGAGTGGATTGTGTACAGAAGGCAGGCTGGCAGCAGTGTTCTGTCCTTGGGTGCTGCCGTTGGTAGGGACACAGTGCACCTGCTCACTGCAGTGTCTGGGCATCTCCCCTGTGTAACTGAGAGTCACACCAAACAAAGGAAGTTCCTGGGTGGTGAGTCCTAGTGTGCTGGTTGTGTTTATGCTTCAGAATTGAAGGGATAATTCAGTCTGCCCCCAGGTTCTTGAGTGTAGATAACTGTAAAGTGAGGGTCTGTCTGGACTTGGTGTTTGCTGTCTAGCTGCTTTGCTTTTGGGAAAACTGCCTGCTACTCTGTCACTATGACTGCTTCTCAGATGGTTTTTCATCAGCTGCGGTCTGGGGCTTCCTGGTCATCTGCACTGGGAATGTGCACATTGAGATGTTAGTCAACACTCTGGGGTAACATGGGCAGCATTTGCTGTTCCCTCCCTCTGCTTGAACTATGTTCCCGCCAGTGATTGCACAGGAAGCTTTTGGGCTCCCGTGGAAGGATTCTGGGTTAGTCACTCAGGTGTGGGGGAACCTCTGCCTGGTATGGACCTAGTTAGTGTATTGTCACTATCATAGACCACCGTGGGAGTCTTGGTGCCTTTGGGGCTCAAGTCATTTGCCAGGAGTCACTGGCTCCCTGGTGACCTTTCCCGGCTTGCTCCTTGCTCACTGCCATGCTTTGCTTTCAGATCTTACTGTGCTGAGATTGCTCACAATGTTTCCTCCAAGAACCGAAAATCCATCGTAGAAAGAGCAGCCCAGCTGGCCATCAGAATCACCAATCCCAACGCCAGGCTTCGCAGTGAAGAAAATGAGTAGATGGCTGGTGTGCATGTTTTATTTGCATTTAAATAAAACCACAAAAACTGATGTCTTGGTGTTTTCTACCTCTTTGGTCACTGGAGATTGTGGTTCTTTGGAAGATTGAGAATTCATGAAACTATTTCTGCCACATGAGATGGTACAGTGGCAGTGCTGCTGTGTATCCAAAAATATACTAGTCGGTTTTAAGGCCATGATCTGTAGCACTGGCTGATCTCCAGTCCTCCACTCAGTGACTTAGACAGAAATGCGTCCCGGTTTTTTTTCAATTGTCTTTAAACGTGACGCTGGTCTACATTAGATCCTGAAGATTAAATGTCTCTTAAAGGTCTGGTCAAGCCGGGCGGTGGTGGTACACGCCTTTAATCCCAGCACTCGGGAGGCAGAGGCAGGCGGATCTCTGTGAGTTCGAGGCCAGCCTGGTCTACAGAGCGAGTTCCAGGACAGCCTCCAAAACATTACAGAGAAACCCTGTCTCGAAAAACCAAAAAAAAAAAAGGCCTGGTCAAAATAGACCTGGGGGCATAGCTCAGTTGAATGCCTAGTCTGCATGCAGCCCTCTGTTCATTCCTGAACACGATTTAATACAAGGACCTAGACACTGGTATTGGGATACAAACTTAAAGCTGAATATCAGAAAAGCAAAGCAGCTGGACACTAGCTTCTTACCTCTACCTCAGCTTGAATGGGCTGATCCTGTCTCTGAGCTGTCACTAAGCCTCTGTCGCCTCAACTCTGGCTGAGACCTTGCTTCTGGTTCTTGTTTTTGAGACGGGTTCTCTGTGGCTTTGGAGGCTGTCCTGCAACTATTGTAGATCAGACTGGTCTCAAACGGAAATTAGCCTGCCTCTGCCTCCCGAGTGCTAGGATTAAAGGCATGCTCCATCACCAACCGGCTGCTGTCTTGTATAGTTCCCTAATGTCGGGATTAAAGGTGTGAGCTATGATTCTTTAGACTAATTCAGTCTTGTGTAGATCTGGGCGGCTTTGGATTCAGATCCATCTACCTCTTAGATTGAGTCCTAGGATTAAAAGTGTGTGCGTGGCTTGTGGCTGACTTTGCTTTCTGAATCCCCAGGCAGGCTTTAGTAAGTCATAAATATACCACCACACATCCCTGCAATTTGGTGGCATGAACTGATAATTTTTTTTTTTTTTTTTTTTGGTTTTTCGAGACAAGGTTTCTCTGTGGCTTTGGAGGCTGTCCTGGAACTCACTCTGTAGACCAGGCTGGCCTCGAACTCACAGAGATCCGCCTGCCTCTGCTTCCCGAGTGCTGGGATTAAAGGCGTGCGCCACCAACGCCCGGCTATGAACTGATAATTTTAAGGAATTTTTTTCCCTTGCAGTAGTGCTGGGGTTGGACCTAAGGTAGTGTGCATTTAAGTTCGTGTTTTGCCTCTCTGTCTGCCTTGAGAGGGCCTCAGATCTCCCTTAGGACAGGAGTTGTTGCCGCCATGAGGGACTGGGAATTGACCCTAGGTCCTATGGAAGAGCAGCCTGCCCTGTTGCTCTTCCGATATGGAATTACTAAATTGCTCATTGTGACCTTGAACTTGTAATCCTGCCTCAACCTCCTTAGGTGGGATAACGGGTCTGTGTCATCGGCCCTGGCATTTTCAAGGCAAATCTTGAAATGAACTGTATTGAATAAACTAGCTACTGGGGATAAAAATAGTGAAGCCAGGTATGGTGGTGCATGTCTGAAGCAGGCAGATCTCTGGATTTGAGGCCACCTGGTCTACAAAGTGGGTTCTAGGATAGCTAGGGCTGTAACACAGAGAAACCCTGTCTCGAACAAAAACGTGAGAACTTTGTATCTGTTCTTTATTCAGATCACAAAATTTGGGCCGTAACTGGTGGTGGTGGCAGTGGCGGCACACGCCTTTAATCCCAGGCAGAGGCAGGAGGATCTCTGTACAGAAATGCTCCAGGGGGTGGGGGTAGGAGTGGTTCTGGCCTATGATCTAGACTTGAATTTTCAATACTAACCACTACACACCTTGAGAAGAACACAAACGGTTAGACGCCTTGGTGATGAGGTTAGAGATGGTTCAAACAGTGGGGCCAAGCCTGTCCAGTGAGTTACACATCTTCCCTGGAAACAATTCTTACTCTGTTAACTAGAAATGAGGCGTTCCAGGTTTTAAGAAGCTTGCCTGGGCTCTACACAGCCCTCCCCTTGGCCAGGGTGCTATTTTCTGACATGTGAGTCCACAGTAAGTGAAGTAGGAAGCCAACCCCTAGAGTCCAGTGCTGGCTTCTCATCACGTGGAGGGGTGCAGTGTAAAGGTGGTAGGACTTCACCCCTGCTGTGAGTGTCCTGAGTTAATGGGCCCAGCTCCCCACTGAAGCTGAGGCCTTGAGTAGGGGCCCTAGGAAGGCACTGAGGCTGCCTGGGAAGGATGGGGTGGCCAAGGCCCATGGGGATGGGAGGGGAGGCTTGCGTTCGGGACAGCTAGCTGAGTTCCATAGAATCCATGCTGGGACCAGAGGCCGAGTCTTTTTGGATGCTCTCGAAGAGGGCGGTGAGTTCTGGGTTGGATCGGATCTGGGCAGAGAAGTCAGCCATACCGGGGCTCTTCCGTACCTCAGGGTTGGTCATCAGGGCAGCCACTGCCCGCATTGCTGAGCGCTTCAGCTCATCCTGCTTCTCCAGCTCCTGCTTCACAGAACCAGCCTTGACCTGCAGAGGGAGACAGTGTCCTTACTGAGTCCATGTTACCCATTTTAAACATGCAGGTTTCAGGTTAATGATGATGGCCTGATTTCAATCGGATTCACATCAGATTTCATCTTTTGCTGCTAGTGTGTTGCTACTTGAAAAATCACAACTTTGGGGCCGGGTATGAGGCTCAGCCGGCAGAGTGCTTCACCTGGTATATACAAAGCCTGGGGAAAAGGGAACCTTCGAGTCGGTGGTGGTGGCGCACGCCTTTAATCCCAGCACTCGGGAGGCAGAGGCAGGTGGATCACTGTGAATTCGAGGTCAGCCTTGTAAACAGAGTGAGTTCCAGGACAGGCTCCAAAGCTACGAAGAAAACCTGTCTCAAACCAAAACAAAGCAAGAAAAAAAAAAGGGGGGGGGGGACACCTGCCCCAGCACCATGTAAAATCTGGTGTAGTCTAAACAGCTGGTAATCCCAACACCTGGGGGCAGGATGATCAGAGATTCAAGTCATCTTTGGTTCTGTGTTGAGTTCAAGGCCAGCCTGGGCTACAAGAGTATTTGTGTCTTATCTCCCCTCCTATTACCTCCCTTCCTCTTCCCCACCCACACAAAGAAAATGAAAACATTACTTGGGCCTGGTAACACAGACCTGTAGTCCCAGCTACATGGAAGGCAAGAGGGGAGGAAGGGATCATTTGGAGATCTACCTAGGAATCATTTATTTTTCAGGAAAACAAAACCACTACTCTTATTCTGCTTAAGACTGAAATTCTTGGCCCTCTTTCTGGCCAAATCTTATCCTTTCAAAACTCAAATGGGGATGGGTGGGGTGGAGGGCTAGGGAGATGGCTCGGTTGGCAAAGCGCTTGCTCTATAAGCTTGAGGGTCTGAGTTCAGATCCCACGTAAGAGCTGCCATGGAGCGCATGGGTGCAGGCACGAGCAGATCCCTGCAGCTCATGGTCACCCAGCCAAACTGAACAATGAACCCAGTTCAGCTAGAGACCCTGCCTCAAAAAACAAAAACGAAATGCTGGGTGTGGTGGCACACATCTTTAATCCCAACACTTGGGAGGCAGAGGAAGGTGGATCTGAGTTCTAGGCCAGACTGGTCTATACTTCCAGGACAGCCAGGGATACAAAGTGAAACAGTATGGAAAAAGAAGTCAGGAGATCAAGGAAAACAACTGTTCTGCCTCTGGCCTCTAGATACACAATATACATAAACAAATCACTCACACACACACACACACACACACACACACACACACACGCACACACAAGTTCTTTCATGTATCCTGAGCATGCCAGGCTGTTCCCAACATTACACCTTTCCATGACACCTTCAACCCAGATTCCCTTGAAACACTCCCTGTAACCAGTGGCTCCGCCCTTGAGCTGTCAGTCAGTCAGTCAATCACAAGAATCAGGCCCGCCTCCCCTGCTGGTATCTGCATAGACAGTGGGGAAGCTAGCATGTACAACATTGTACCCTGGGTCCCTCTCACAGCCCAACACCCAGGAGGTATTTAAACAAGGGATCTCAGCCTGTGATGCTGTGTAGCCCCGGGCAACAGGAGAACATTCTAGGGCAACAGGGATGATGGAAGCAACTAGCCCACCACTGCAGAGCCCATAGTGCAGTGAGTAGTGACTAGATCTGCCAGCTACTCCAAGGCCCAGGCCAGGCAGGGAAGGGCAGGGCAGGGCATACCTTAGCAGTACAGGTGGCTCTGAGTGGCTCGATGAGCCGGTCAACCCTCTGCAGGACAGGTACAGGACAAAGGGTAGCCAGCCGGGCCAGCATGATGAAGGTCAGCATCTGCCCAAAGAAGCAGATGAAGTCTTGGTGAAATAGCCCCCAGACAGAGCAGCAGACCCAAGGGAAGTACAGACTTGCACCCACAAACCCACAATCAAGTCATTCCAGGGCCCTGCCCAAAGCTCCCACCTCTCTGGGTCTCAGTTTCCTAGAATAGAAGATGTAAATGGTGATGCTGAATCTTGCCCGCCACTCTTAACTGTGTGAGGACTGCGTGAGGAGGGCTGGTTAACAAAAGACAGAGAAGGGCAGTCCCCACGATCACAAGCCTCTGGCAGAGGCCTGAGAAGGAATATAGCAGCGCCTCAGCTCCCACTGACACTAGTTTGGACATGCTGCATTTAGAAAAGGCTTGAGTGTGTATCACAAAAGCCCATGTACTGGAAGCTTGATTCCCCAGGATACCAATGCTGAGGGGTGATGGAACCTTCAGCAGGAGGTGGCTAGGTTGCTGGAGGTGGCACTGTTGGAAGGTGTTTATTTAGGTCTCAGAGGACCTGAGTTCTCACAAAATGCTTCATGCCTGACTCTACCATGTGACCACTTGTGCAGGTGCCTGCTTTGTGACATCACCAGAGCCAAGCCAATACCAGGCTGTGAGCCTGCTTTCCTTAAAAACACCCAGGCACAACATTTTTCTTTCTTTCTTTCTTTCTTTCTTTCTTTCTTTCTTTCTTTCTTTCTTTCTTTCTTTTTCTTTCTTTCTTTTTCTTTCTTTCTTTTTCTTTTTCTTTCTTTCTTTCTTTCTTTCTTTTTTTTTTTTTATAACAACAGCAAACAGTCCAGGTGTGGTGGCTCAGCCTTTAATTCCAGCACTTAGGAGGCAGAGGCAGGAAGGTCTCTGTTCGGTCTACAGAGTGAGTTCCAGGACAGCCAGGGCTACATAGAGAAGTCCTGTCTCGAAAAAACAAAATAAAACAACAATAACAATAACAAAAAAGTAATAACAACAACCAGAAAACAGACTAGTACAATGGAAATCTGGGAATTTACCTAGCATTTTTGTTTGTATTGTTTTGGAGGCTGTCCTGGATCTGTAGATCAGGCTGGCCTCAAACTCACAGAGATCTGCCTGCCTTGGCCTCCTGAGTGCTGGGATTAAAGACGTCTGCCACCAACACCTGGCTGGGAATTTACCTAGCATTATAGATTGTTTTTAAAAGAAACAACTATTTTTATGTAAAATCTCTTGATTTTTAAATGCAGTGACATTTAAAACAAATTAATACAAAGCAAAAATGGCATAAGCCATTTCCACACTAGTAGATTTGGAGATAGTGTGCCTAGACTGCACAGCTGAGAAACAGCTAAAGACTGACTGGTTCCTTGTTGGTGACAGAAAGTGGCAGAGCTGCTTTCATGGGGTGCCAGAAGGAGGAAGAACAGGCAGGTGCCTAATGGTGCCTGGCTCCCCTTGCTCTGAGCTGGACCTGCACCTGGCAGGGCACATCTTACTCGGATGTCATAGTGGTCCTTCAGCCCATCCTGCACGTGGTTCAGAAACTCGCAGACGTCCAGCTGGCCCAGGCAGCTCTCCAGCAGTGAGTACATGCACTCGAAGGCTGCCTTCCTCACATCCAGTCCATCATCTACCGTATGCTTGAAGGGCCCCATCTCCACCTGCAGGAAGGAAGGACAGAGGGTTTGAGGGTACAAAGCCCCTCCCCTAGATTCTGCAACTCACCCTACCTGCTCAGCATTGCATTTTGGCCCCAAGTCCTGCCTTACGCTCTCAAGCTTCAGGAATCAGCTCAGCTTGCTGTACCCTTTCTCCCAAGTGTCACACCTGCTGAGCAAACAGAGTAAGCTCCTGTGGGGTAGGCATGCATGTTTGTGTGCGTGCATGCGTGCATGCGTGTGTGTGTGCGTGTGTGTGTGTGTGTGTGTGTGTGTGTGTGTGTGTGTGTGTGTGTGTAGGACCTCATGCATGCTGAGCACGTTCTGCAACTGAGCTATAACCTCACCCGACAGATGACACCTTACTTGAGTGTTAAAGACACCTTAGGAAGGTCTGGGGATAAGGCTCAGAGAGTAGAGTGCTTGCCTGGCACACAAAGATCCAGGTCTGATCCCCAGCACCAAATCAACAGAACATGGTGGCACACGCCTACAACCCCAGCACTTAGGAGGTGGTAGCAGGAGGAGCAGACGTTCAGGGTCATTCTCAGCCTAGACTACATAAGATTCTGTCTCAAGTGAAAACCTTAGGAAAAAAGTGCTACTATCAATCCCACTCAACAAACAAGGAAACTAGGTTCAGGGAGATAACTGACACAGCTAGTAGGTGACAGAACCGGACACAAAGAACCAAGGCCTCACCGGGCATTGGTGGCTCACATCTTTAATCCCAGCAATTGGGAGGCAGAGGCAGGCAGATCTCTGTGAGTTCGAGGCCAGCCTGGTCTATAGAGTGAGTTCTAGGACAACCTCTAAAACAATACAGAGAAACTCAAGGCCTCTAAAGCTTTTAACCATGAGATCTGCCTTCTAACAGTAAAGTTTGTGCTGAAATGCTTTTCTTTTGGAAAATTTTTCCAACCCCTCACAAGAGTACTGCTTCCTCCTCAGCCCTCCATGAGATGACTTGGCTGTCAGTCATCTCAACCCCTACCCCTTTAGCTTTCTCCACAAGCCTGGCCCTCCTAACCCCCCCCCCCCCTCCTGGAGGTCAAGCTGAGTACCATGGTGGCAGAAGTCAGGTATGGTGCATCTGTCTGAGTCACGGAGCTTGAGATTCTGGAGGAGTGACAACAGTTGCTGACGTTACAGTCCAATAATCCTACAAGCTTGAAGCCTGAGGTTCAGAGGTTGGAGTTTGTTTGGACTGTGGATTTTAGAACATTTGCACTTCCAAAGAGACATCTTGGAGAAGGGACCCAAGTCTAAATACAGACTCCATTTATGTCTAATAAGCCCCTTCTTCATATGTCTGAACAGTTTCAGATAGTAGTTGTAGGATGCCTGCATTTTAACTAGGCCCTGTCATAGGAGGCCACAGGCAGCAGCACACTTGGGGACTGGGATGCTTACCATGAACATGCGCCACTAAGCACCAGAGCTGCCCCAGGTGCTTAGGGCACATTCCTGTGGTACAGGCATGGTGGTTGTCTTCACTTAGCTCCAGGGGAAACAGAAGCTCAGGGTTTACAGCTGGGGAGTGGAGGGAGGGGCATGGCATGACTGGGGCCATGTGGCCCTGGTGCCTGTGTGGGCTTCACTCCTAGTCCTCAGCAAGCCTGCCAGCAAGGCACAGGAGACGCAAGGGGACAGCTAACGAGGGACTAAGTCATGCCAGGTGCCCATGCGGCCCTGTACCTCTCGGATGAGGTCCCGACGGATCTTGGTCTCCTGGTAGAGGAGGGGTAGGATGTCATCCAACAGGTCCCGGACCAATGATGGTTTATTGTGCACAGCTGAGTTGAAGAAAGTGAGTGTGGCCCGGCGCACGTTCAGGTCTGGGTCCTGCAGGCTTTCCATGAACTCTGCTGCAGGGAGACAAAGGAGGATGCAGAAGCAGGACACAAAGCCACCTCATGCTGTACCTGGTGACTAAGGCACTGTGAGTTGTGCAGGCTGAAGGGCAGTCCACGTAAGAATGCTGGGGTTCCCACTAACGGTGGGCTTGGGCAGCCTTGACCTCTTAGCAGGGTTTTTAGGAAGAAGACATGATAGCAGCTTCGAAGCACAGGGCTGAGAGCTGGCACAGAAGAAACTTTTGTTTTGAGACAGGTCCTCACTGAATGGCTCCTCTTGAGTACAGGATGACAAGAGAGGGCCACTTAGAGGACGGGGTCTGAAGTGCTAAACTGACGTGGTGACAAGAGATTACATAGACTCAATGGCTCCTCTGAGTAGGCCTTTGGAGAGGTTTAATTGGGAACTTGGAGCATGTTTTATTTATTTGGGACAGTGCCAAGGATGGCTCCCAGGGCCTGGCACATGCTGAGCCCACGTACTACCACCAAGCAGCAGCCTCACCCAGGAAAATATGAGTACAGAAACCCAGCCGTCTCCACTGCAGCAGTGACCCCTGATGTGCCCCACTGGGAGGACCTGGGATCCTTCCCATGGTGCTATGCTGGCTTCTAGAGTCCTGCTTCTGTGAGAACACAGCCTAGGAATCTGACAAGTATGAACCCTCTCTAGGAACTCAGTTTCCTCACTTGTAAAGTGGGACCAATGTCCTTTACTAGGCTGTATGAGAACTGATGAGTTTTTTATCCAAGAGCATCTTACAGTATCCAACTCAGGGAGCTCAAAAACCGAGGATCAACATGCTAAGGTCAGTGGTGCATGTCTGTAAGCCCAGCACTTGGCAGATAAAGGCAGGGTCAGGAGTTCATGGTCATCCTAGCTATATATAGTGAGTTTAAGTCCAGCATGGACTGTACAGATTCAGTCTCTAAACTAGTCTTGGGGGCCAGAGAAAAGATGGGTCAGCACTGACTTTCCTTTCAAAGGACCTGATTTTGGTTCCTAGCACCTACGTGGTGGCTCACAATCATCCATAACTTCAGTTCAATGGATCCAATGCCCTCTTCTGATCAACATAGGCACAGGCACACACATGGTGCATAGACATGTACAAGTGAAACACTCATACACACACACACACACACACACACACACACACACACACACACACACACACACAAGCCAACTAATAGAAATTTAAACAAAACAAACCTGGACATGCAACCACAGCAGCTCATCAAGGCTGGAAATCTGCCTGTGACCATCCAGGTCAGGCCATCAGATGACTGACACAAGGATACATTCTCTACTTGAGTGGTCATGCCACTGGCCCTTTGGTCTGCCACAGAACCCTGGCATGTGAGTCATCACCCCCTTTATAGTTGAGATTGAAATGCCCTGCCCACACAAAACTGTATTCATAGCCAAGGCTGGAGAACTGGGATTCTGCTGTGGCCTCCTGAGAAGATGCAGGCACTTGGCTTTGAACGCAAGAAGTCTGGTCCTGCAGGAGGTTCCAAGGGAGGGCCTGGCCTACCCCATCAAGGCTCCTGCAGCACAGGTACCCTCAGACTTGGTCACATGGGGGCTTACCAGCTCAGACTTACTTTCTCCTCAGAGTATTTCCCACCCCAGTAAGCTGTTTCCAAGAAATTCTTTTCCAGAAACTTCTCACAGCCACTTGACAGATCAGGAAGAAGGGGCATGATAGGCCTACCAGAGCCTTGGGGGTGACAAGGGGATCTTTAGGCAGATCTCTTCACTCAAGAGTCTGTCCCTGCTGCCCATCACAAAGAGCTGCTTTTGGGACTCTGACACCCTTGGCTAATTTGTAAGACACCCTACCAAGCTCCATACCCAGGGTGAGGGGACTAGTTGTAGCCAAGACAGGGGATGGGGGACACATACCAATGTAGCTCTTCAGGAGGGGGTCGATGGAGTGCGGCTGGTCTGAGATGAGGAACTTGACTGCAGTGATGACCGTGCTCCGGGTATATGGCTGACCTGCGAGAGGAGAGGCGACAGTGTTGGGCAGCAGACAACCCGGAGGCCTGTGGTACAAACGCTGTACACCCTCTCCCTACTTGAGAAACAACTATGCCCAGAAGTCCACGCTATTATTCCCTGTGGCAGCCTTGAAGCTGCCCAATTCTTCCTCCTGTAGGTAGGAGAGTAAGCACCTGGGTCTTGGCACCACCCTGCAGGGCAAACAGAACACTAGGACCTGGGAAAACTCCTGCCTCTGGCTGAGACTACACAGCAGCTTTCAGATATCCTCTCCATTCAAACTCACATAATAACGAAATGTTAACTAAAACAATGAAGCTGGTGTGGTAGTGGCCTGTCACACTAAGGACCCAGGAGTATCTTCAGGAGTTCGAGGTCAGCCTGGGATACAGGGATACAAAGTCAGCCGTTATCTCAAAAATAAACAGAATTATGAAGGACTATTGGTCTGTGTTTCACACGGAAGGAAGAACTCAGAGAGGCCAAGCTCACATTTAAGGTCACATAGCAGAGGCCAGGGGAGCTTTTAGTAAGCTGGAGGCCAATGATAAGCCTACAGAACTCAAGTCCCCTAAAGGATTCATTTTATTTTACCTTTGTTGCTGGCTTTCAAGTAGCTGGGGAAATGAAGGGCTTACACATATCCCTAAGGATGGAGGGTGATGCCAGGACATGGCTCACAGTCCGGCTTGTCCCCAGCTGGAAACAGATTGTGTGATCTTTGGGACTAGGGCCCCACTGGCAGACGTAGGCTGCTGATGGTAGGCCTTAATGGTATCATCTGCCTTTGAAACCAGACTAACTGATTCCTGATCCACCAAGGTGTGAACTAGCTACACTGCAAGCTCCCACTGCCGTGAGTCCTCACACCATGTCTTCCCACCCATGGCTGGCTGTCCCCTCTAAACGGGGATCCTCTCTAAAGTCACTTCTATCAGGGATTTTGTCACAGCAGTGAGAAAAGTAACTACTACCATTCATGTCCACAGCAGGGGTTATGAAAATGACATCATTATTTTGATGATGAAGTGTTTTTTGTTTTTTGTTTTTTTTTTTTGGTTTTTCGAGACAGGGTTTCTCTGTGGCTTTGGAGGCGATGATGAAGTTTTTAAAGACATGGTCTCTCTACATAGCCCTGGAACTCAATACGTACACCAGGCTGATGTGTACTTCACAGAGATCCTCCTGTCTCTGCCTCCTGAGTGCTGGGATTTAAGGTGTGCACTTCCATGCCTGGCTCTATGTCACTTATTTGTGTGAGACACTAGGAACAGAACCCAGGGCCTCATGTATCACAGGCAAACACTCTATCGCCAAGTGAGAGCCTCATCCCCAGCCTCTGATTTCTTTTCTTGAGTCAAAGTCTCACTAAATTGTACAGGAATGTCTTCAGCTTCTGTAAGCAGGTAGGCCTTGATGTCATAATCCTGCCTCAGCCTCTGAAGTAGCTAGGATATATTCCTAACTATAGAGTTATATATTTATAATCCCACATGCCTAATGCCATCATGGAACTTCAAATTGTATTTTTACCCCTTAGTCTCTTCAGAGGAAAGGATCTAGGATCTCCTTGGATACTAAACCCAAGGACAAGCCCTTTCCACAAAACAGCATGGTGTCTACACAGAACCTAGGCACATGGTCCATGTACTTCCAATCTTTTCTATGTTGTTTACATTAAGCATGTCAACAGTAGTTAATTAATACCATTTAGGAAAAAGGAGCTTGCAAGATGGAACTTGCTATAAATGCACTTGCTACCAGTCCTTAGGATCCACAGGACAGAAGGAGAGAACTGACTCCCATAAGTTGTCCTGTGACCTCTATATGTACACCACGGCAACACGAGAGTATATGCATGTGTACACACACACACACACACACACACACCAATGTCATTTTTTAAAAAAAGATTAAAACAAGAAAGTCTGCACATGTTAAGTACAGACACAATATTTTCTTGGGTTATTTTGATTCAGGTGAGTTGAATTTATGATGCAAACCCTCTGGGTGAGAGGTCTGTTCAAGGAAGGGATACATCAGAAACCCTGTCCCGTTAGGCTGGAGAGGTGGCTCAGAAGTTAAAAGCACTGGCCACTCTTGCAGGGGACCTGGGTTTGTTTCTGAGCACCCACAAGGCAGCTCACAGCTGACTCTAACCCCAGTTCTAGGACATCTGATGCCTTTTTCTGGCCTCTAAGGGCACTGCACATACATGCACATACATATATGTGCAAAACACCCATCCACATAAAATTAAATAAATCTTGAAGAAAAACAAAAGACTTTGTTCTTCTATCTCAGAGATCACACTATGCCGGTACATTTGGGAAGCGCATTTCTATCTGGCTCCTTTTCCTTGATTAACAGACATGTGACTCCAGTGATTTGCATGAGCTGTATACATGCTTGGAGATCAAGTGCCCACCCTGTGCTGGGCCAGCTTGGGCCATTGTGCCCTTACCTGCAGCAAGCTGTTTCCGGAACCGAGGCAGGAGGAAGGGAGGGTTCACAAGCACTAGCTTCCCAATGCACTCAGCCACCACACACCGCGTGCCTTCTTCAGGGCTCTCACAGCGCTGGAAGAGCAGCGCCCAGACATCCTCAACATAGGGCTTTAGGTTGTCAGGCTGGGCAGCCGCCAAGGCCTCCCTAAGTGCATGTAGCAGCAGGTACTGTCGCCGGGGCTCGGCCTCGATCTGTGCCAGCAGGAAGGGCAGGAAATCAGGCAGGTTGCCAGCACCCACACGGCCCAGGGCATATGCGGCTGCAGCCCTCACATCCTCACTGGGAGACCCCAAGGCTTCCAGAAGCACGGTCTTCAGCTCTCTCTGGGGGCCTGGCCCAGCCACCTGGCCCACCTCAGCCAGTGACAGGAATGCCAAGACTTTGACTCCTGTGCTTGAATGGGGCGACCTGGCATCACAGACCAGGCGGCTGGCAGTTCCTGCTGCCTCCTGGGGACAGGCAGCTGAGAGGGCAGCCACACACCGGGCCAGTGAGTGGAACACCTGCTTGTGCAAGCCGGGTCCTCCATCCTCAGCCTGGTTGTAAACAGGTGCAGTGAGCAGACTAATGAGCTCAGAGTACTCCACACACGGAGGGCGGGTTCCCACCAGTGCCTGCAGAAAGCCTTCAGTGGCTGTCAGCACCCCAGCAGGCAGCAAGGGGGAGTGCAGCAACCGCATCAGCTCTTCCAGGACAGGCCCACTGACTTCCACAAGAGAGGTGGGCTGCGCCTGGGTCACAGTGGCAAGGAAGTCGACAGCCAGCTGGGCCACATGCATATCGTTCTCGCTGACCAGGGCAGGCAGTTCAGCTAGCACGGCCCGCACAGCAGGCGGAGGCAGGCCGAGGCTCTGACTCTGAGCCAGGGCATCCAGGGCAGCCAGCGTGGCCAGCCGCAGTGCCCGCTGATTCTTGCGCAGAAACGAAGCCAGGATAGGGAGTGCCTCAGCCAGGATGGGCTGCAGGTCAAGTCGTAATGGAGACACAGCCACCAGTGTCAGCGCCTTGACAGCAGGCAACCGGGTGATCTCATTCCGTAGGCGGTCCAAGAGAAGCATAAGTGTGGGCTCTAGGTCATCCCCAAGCCGGTCACCAAGGTGACCCACAAGGTGGCCCACACAAGAGATGGCCCGTTCCTTCACTTCCTGGTCTAGATCAGTAGCGCGGAGTCGTGCCAGGGTAGCCGTGGACATCTCTCCAACATATGGCTCTGGGTCCAGCATCCGAGGCCTATCCAGTGGCCACAGGGTCCGCACCAGCTCCTGGAGCACCAGTAAAGCCTCAGCTGCCACCTTGTAGAAAGGGTCAGCCACGCAGGCCATCACAGGTGGTAGGAGGGTGGGCAGGTGTGGGTGGAAGGCCTCGGCTGGCTCTGTACCCAGAAGCCCCTGCAGGAAGGCCAGGGCATCCATCCGAATGGTGGAGGAGCTGGAGTGGTCAGCCAGCGAAAAGACAATGCCTGTGGGTGGGAACCAAGGTTAGGGGTCTCCCAGCCTGGTTCAGTCTGGGGATACAGTGACCAAGGAAGGCATCTGCACGGAATCAAAGCATCCAAGGGGGGGGGGGGATTGGGGGGAGGGCACGGGAGGAGGGGAGGGATAGGGAGAGGGACCTGGAACTGACTTGTGAAGCAACCTTGTTTCTTATCTAAATTTAAACTGGAAAATAAAAAAAAAAAGAAAAAGGATGAAAAAAAAAAAAAGCATCCAAAGCTCCCAGAGGTCACCAGAGCTGAGGGAAGCAAGGCCAGAGAAGCCACAGAGTATGCTTGGAAGCAGCCTTGTTCTCCCTGTGGTCAGAGGTAAACCTTCATGGGCCATCATTGCAGAGCTCTGCCCAGAAATAATGCCTGGGCTCTCAGGGATTGAGGGCTCAATATAGGGTAGGGGTCTGTATTCTGGAAGAGGCCCAAGAGTAGATAGCCAGTTATAGCCCAGCCTACCTGATACCAACGCGGGCATATGCTCTGCCAGGCTGCCGGGGAGAACACTTGCCAGCTCAGTGAGGAGGTTGAAGCAGCCCTGGCGGGTCCGGACATTTCGATCTTTAAGTTGCCGATGTAGGGCCTTCATTACTAGGGGCACCTGTGGGCAGGTAGGCAGCTCAGGAAGCAGCCAGGAGGCCTCCCCAGGGAGGACTCCGACACGGATGGGACACCTCAGTGTCCACCAGCCTCTACTAGCCACTGGATCCAGACTCTGCAGACAGAGTGATGGCTGCCTCCATCTTGTAAATGCAGACACGGAATGGGCTCGAGGTGACCCAGCAGCCTGGCTGTCACCTCTATCTCTATGGGAGAAGCAGAGGCCTAGCTGTCTTCAGTGTATGGCCCCTTCTCTTCTATTCGTAGTTACACTCACAATATATTCCTGAGTCCAGTGGCACTAGTGCCACCCTGATCTGTATCTCCGATCCAGCTTGCATTTTCTGCCTACCTACTAGCTCAACCTAGGCATCTGCTACAGTCTGGATAAAGTCTATGGCCATGAGGACCCACACAGTAGAAGCTTGGTCCCCAGTATGGTGTTTAGTATTAGGAAAAGGAGGGGCCTCTGGAAGGTGTCAATATCAGGAAGTCACTAAGAAGGATGAACTAGTTCTACTGGACTTAGTCTCATCGTTCTGGCTTCCTGACTTACCATGGGATGTTTTCCTTCTGTATATTCAAGCTACCTATAAAGATGTCACACAGCTAAAGCAATCCACATCAGAGCAGGGAACATGCTTTTTGGACTGTTTCAAACCTGAATTAAATAAGCCTCTTTCCTTAGTAGGGACCTAGCCTTTAGCATTTTATTATACTAACAGAAAATTCACTACTTAGAGCCAATGAGGACTTCAACATAAACATGATGCCGATATCCCCTCCTCTTCAGTGTTCCCTATCTCAGGAATATGAGAGATCGAATGATTTCAACCTGCCTATCCCACACAAGCAACCTATCATCAGCAGGTCCAATGGTTCATTCTAAAACCCGTTTCTCAGGCCTGCACAGCCAGTCAATCCCTCTGCTTCCATTGCGCCTAAGGCACCATCTCTTGTCACCTGGACACAGTTGCAGTGTCCTCCTGTTGGTCACCAGCCATGACTCTTGTCCTGTCACAATCCATTCCCACCCAGCAGCCAGAAGAGCTCTTTAAAGTGAAGCAAACTTTTGCTACCCTCTTCCTGAAGCCGCTTACTCTTGGGATGAAGTGAAGCCCTTCTCGATCCTGGGAGTCTACTTACATTGTTGCCCATGAGTCCCAAGCCTGCATCACAGAGACCAAGGATGAGGCAGGACTCCATCTGAACCCCCAGGCTGGGCACAGAGAGGTGCTCGGGCCACATTCTTCAGCCAGTGAAGAGATGGGGGAGCAGAATGAGGGAGAGTGGGTTAAGGACATAGCCCACCTGTGCCCGTAGCATACTGAGGTTGCTGCCAGTCTGGGTGGGCTCCTCCACGGCTTCTAGCCATCCCTTAGGGGGCCGCGTATGTCGCAGCAACATGATGTAAGCCCCAAAGATGTCTGCCTTGACATTCTCCTCCCGTTCCTTGAAGCGGCGGATGAGCGCGGGAGCCAGAGTGCAGTGGAAGTCGGGCACCAGGTCGGGACGAGAGCCGATCAGGGCTGCCATGCACTTGGCGGCTGCTCGGCGCACCTTCCAGCTCATGTCATCATCGTCGCTGTACTCGTCCTCGCTCTCTGGGGCAGGAGTAGACACACAGCCATCTCTCAGCTCAGGGAAGACGACTCTGGGCTTTACCTTCTGAAGACCAGTATTCACGCCACCACCCTTAGTGAACACTGCGGTGTGCTCAGGATGGCACCACGCCCTTCTATCCACAATCTCTCCCATGGGGCAAGGACCATTCCCCATTGCAGAGGACTGGACCTAGAGACATGAAGTGGCTCGATCCAATGTACGAAAGTCTGCACGTCAGCCACAGCCCTTCCTGCCTCCAGATCCTTGTCTGTCAAGGAAGAACTGTGTCGGTATGCTGACACAGGCCTGTAACCCCAGTACCTGAGAGGTGGGATAGGAGGATCATGAGTTCAAGGCCAGCCTGAAATACTTAGTGAGACTTTGCCCTCTTCCAAAAAAAAAAAGAAAAGAAAAGAAAGACAGGGACTCTTAAGTCTGCAGTGGAGACACAAAAAGGTTCCTGGGGCTTAGGCCCATCCTCTGGCTTCAGGTCTGACCATTCTCAAAGAGAAAGGCGACCTCATTGTGGCCTTGGTGCTAACCCAGTCTCAGTCAATCAAAAGCCTTGCTTGATCTAAAAGGTGTTCAAGTAAGACAAACACCAGAGAAAGAATGGGTATGTGTGGCCTTCTGCTCAACAGGCCTGAGCGTCAGCAGATCACAGCTCTACTAGAAGAAAGGACCCATTATACAGATATCAAGACCAAGGCTCAAGAGAGGGTGAGAGATCTCCTCAGGAAACATAGTTAGCAAACTGCAAAGCAGAGTCAATCCCATCCACCTCGCTGGGGCAGAACAGAAGGCTCAGGGTTGACGAGGAGCACCTCTTTATCCTGGATCTGAGACCACGTGTTCCTACTGTGCCACACCATTGACAACTAACACTCACATAGTGGGCTATGCCCACTGGTCAGCTCAGCAGACATCACCTTTAATGGACCCTGTGCTGCCATCCAAGAAATATCCGTAGCCCTCTATTGTTGGCAAGAAAATGATCCAACTCCTGGTTTAGCCTTCGAGGCTCCAGTATGCCTGCTTGATTTTGTTTTAGGGCCCTATGAGGCTTTAAGTCCCTAGTCTCTATATTTACCCTGACTTTAGGAAATCTGAGTGATGGACAGGACCTCAGGCCCAGAGGGAAGAGGCCTCTGAGTCCCCGTCTGGACTTGTCCCTTCCAAGTGCCACCATTCAACATCTAGCATCATCCTGAAAACCATTTATAACAATGGTAGCATGGAGGTGGAGAGTCTGTCAGAGCTGGCCCACATCCTGGCTACATACTTGGTGGTTCCTCAGTTTCCCTGTATGAAATATGAGGTCACATCTAGGTTTTAGGATCACCATTAGGAATAAGAGGTAAGAGCTTGGAACACTAGTGGATGTTCAGGAAGTGAAGATTAGAGATGTTGCTTGGGACCTGTGAGAGCCTGGCCACCTGAGGGTCGTCATACATTCCATACACACTCCATTCTCAGCTTTAAGTCACCTCTAAACACTTATAACCCTGATACAGCATAAACATCCTAATGCCAGCTATCACATCACTGTCTATGTCTTTCCCGAGTATTTTGATCTCCTGTGCAGGCAGGAGGATGACTGCGCAGCCTTCCTCACAGCCAGAGAAGAGCAGCATCCAGCCAGGCAGGCCTGCTCTTCCTCAACAGGCCGTCCACCGACCTTGCTCACTGAAGTCACTGTCCCCAGTCTCCATCTGCTCTTCGTCCTCATCACTGTCATGATGGTAGTTGGGGTCATGTTTCATGTACCGGAGGCAGAGGTTGGTCACATTGGGTACATGAGGGTCCATCTCCTTGGGGCACCTGAGGGACAAGAAGGAGAGTCCTCACTGGAACCCAGCATACCAGAGCAAGGATAGAGCCCCAAAACAAGTGACAAGAGCTGACTGCTTTGAGGGTATCATCTTGTCCCCCATCCCTACCAACTCCCCACGCAGCTCCCAGGCCTGGCTTCTAGTGCAACTGCCACACTTACTTCCTTAGGAAGGCCTCGAAGGCCTGGAGGCAGGACTCTCTCAGCTCATCGTCATCCAGGTTGCAGAACTCCTCCACCAAGGGTACCAGGCGAGCCAGGTGGGCCCCTACAGAGCCAGATGTTCACTAAAGTAGCCACACTTTCCCTTAGTCACCAGCCCACAGCCTCAGCCCAACTGCTCGCCCTTGCAAGGTAAATTCAACTTAGAGGCTTCGGAGGCAGGCTGCCTGGGGTCTAGACTGGTGGCTACCTATGTATCATGGGGCTGTGGGCCACTTGCAAGACCACCTACTAATCATCACAGCATGGAAGCCAATTAACCATGATGCAGGTAGAGCTTAGCTCCGGTCCTTGCACAGATCAGGCTTGCGATAAGCAGCATGTATGGTTGAGTCACAGTCAGGGTTATGCCTTATTCCTAGGATGTGAGCTGCAGATTCGAGAACAAGAGGGACCTCTGGTCCCCAGGCTTTACAGCAGTGGTTCTCAACCTTCCTAATGCTTCCACCCTTTAATACAGGCTCACAGGCTAAGGTGTGCTTGTCAGAGCCGAAGGCTCAAACACATTTTATATAAGTGTCTGATATCATGACTCTCGAGGACTATCCCTGAGATTCCACAGAAGTCACTTCCAGAAGACCACACAGAGGTATAAGGCCCTGAAAAGGAAAGCCATCGTGTTCCTGCTAGGGCACTGTCCCCGCCCACCAGGCCCCGCTCAGAATTTTAGCCCCGCCCCCTCACCCAAGCGATGGCCAGCCTGGCGGCCCACGCTGCCCAAACACTGGATCAGGGTTCGAATGGCTGCCGGGCTGGCCGGCGCACGCGGGCCGGGAAGCCGGTCCACCAGGTGGTCAGCGAGCTCCACGAAGAGGTCAGTGCTGCAGGAGGCGGCCAGGTGTCCGAGTGCCCCGACGGCACGCTTGCGAACAGCCAGGCGCGGGCTGCTCAGCTGGGGCAGTAGGCAGTGCAGCAGGCTTGCATGGAAGGTGCCCAGTGGGGCACCTAGCCTGGGGACAGGACGGAGGGAATGTCAGGCCACGCACCACAAGCAGGCAACTTGGGTCTGCATCCCCATCCTCTCTGTACCTCCCTCTTATGATATTCAAAGACCCTGGGAAAGTGACAAGGTACCCCTCAAACCGTGAGGAGTGACTTAGCGTCTTACTACAGGAAAGAAAGCGTAAAGAGACAGCCTTGTGAAGGCTCCTCAGTCAACAGTGCAAGTCCAAGACCTGAGCCCAATCTGTCCGCTTAGGGAGGAGTGTGGTGGGCATGGGGGCTCCATTGAGGACGGTCCAAATTCTTGGGAGCCCGGGGTTTGCCTTAATATCTATCCTTACTGAGACTGCAGTGGTGTAAAACCTAAGACTTTATCATTCCTCTGCTTAACCTTGCTATGGCTCCCCAGTGTCCTCTGGATAAGCCGAGCTCTGAACTCACGGCAAGAGACAATCCTCGGGTAGTTTCTCCACAGACAGAACCTGGCTCCACATGGCCCCAGTTTGTTCTCCATAGTGAAATCAGCTCTGGATGAGTTTGGTTTCACAATGTCCCGAGGCCTTTTCTCTTGCTGCTCTGCTGCCCTCCAAGACCTCACTGTCCTGTGCCCAGCCCAGATCACTCTGCTGCAGTCTTTACCTATTTATTCATCTGCTGGGTGATAGGGTCTATGCTGGAGGTCGGGCCCTAAGGACAGACTCTGGCTCTCTGGAGTTCATGATGGAGGGGTGCCTTTCAAACACCACAAATTCAACTTGCTCAGATGAACCCATCACCTCCTACTGTACCCACCTGCTCCTGAGCATTGCCACCCCGATCCTTTATCTCCTGGTTTCTAAAACCTACAGGGCCAGCCTCCCGCCTGACCACTCTGGATCCTGTCGAGTCTACCTCTTTCAGAGAACCCATGGAAGCCAAACCAAGTCTAGGGGCACAGGCCTATAATCACACCTGCTAGGAAGGCTGACGCAGAAGGATTACAAGGTCAAGGCCAGTCTGGACTACAGAGTTCATTCAAGGCCTGCCTGAGCAACCCTGAGAAATGGAGTCTCAGACATAAAAAGTAATGGCTGGAGACGTATCTCAGTGGTAGGGTTCCTCCCCAGCATGGGTAAAGCCCTGGGTTCAATCCCACCACTAACATAAAGACAAAGACACGCCTCCCCAAGTCAGCCTGTCCAGATTACAGAAGGAAAGAGCAAAGGAAGACGGATCCTGTCCTTGGGGCTCCTGCTCAGCCCTCCAGCCTCATCACTGCATACCAGCTTCCACAATCAGCTCACCATGCAGAAGCCCCGGGCTCAAGTCTCTTAGAACCCAGAGCAGAGGCTGCTTAGGTCATGATCATATATGCAGCTGATAAGAGTGTAGAGGCCCCACGCTAAGCCCTGTATGATGGATACATACTAATCAATGGGCCCCACCTCTGGACTCCCTGAAGGTCACTCACTCCATTCTCCATATCCAAGACTCCTTCCCCAACTCCTGGATCAGAGGTGGCCAGATTACAAGTACCAACTATGGACTATTATCACCCACATGGCATGGAAACTCTAAAACTCTCTGAAACCTTTAAGGGACCCCTCTGCCACATGGGCCTGAACTCCCAGCAGAGCCCACCATGCTGTCTTTCCATGCCATGAAGAATTCTTCTAATCTTTGTTTTGTTGTTGTTGTTTGGGTTTGTTCTTTTTTTTTTTTTTTTTGACAGGATTTCTCTGTGTAACTGTAGACCAGGCTGGCCTTGAACTCACAGAGATCCTCTTGCCTCTGCGTCAGGAGTGTTGGGACTAAAAGTGTATGCCACCACACCCAACCCTTCTACTCTTTTAATCAAAAGGACAATCTGCATCAGTGTTTCCCTTGGGCCCCAAACCCAAAACCTTCATGATCCTCTCCTGCCTCTGCCCTCTGTGATGCCCTTAGATCTGCTAGGCCCCGGAGCCTCAGCTCAAGTAAGAAGTGCCCAGAAGCTGAGCTAGGGCCTTTGGAGCTTGGGCCCTGCACTTGACCTAACCACTACTATTATGTCCAGTTGGCCGCTTGCCTGTGAATCCAGGAGCAAGGCAAGCTCACCACTAGGCAAAACCTGGTTTTTCCTGCCCCCAAAACAAACGCACAAGCCATGGGAGGTGTACTGACTGTGTGACCTTGAGCTAATGACCTCCTAGAGCCTGTTCTGTAGTGTGACATTATTGCATGCAGGCCACTCATCTCCGTCTTGCCTGTCCCCTCCCTTCTTGCCCAAAGTGGCCTGGCTCACCTGCTCAGCATGTCGGAGAGGATGTCCAGGGCTTCCAACTGCACAGCCACGTCCTCCTGCTGGGCGATGGCACTGGTGAGCTGGCCTGTGATCTTGCGGCACACGTTGATAGCCAGTCCTGAGCCTGTGCGGGACACAAGTGGACGGGATAAGGCCTTGGGCTGAGAGGGCAGCCAAGTCTGGCCTGCTTGTGCTCTGGTTGTGTTTCTAAGCCCACATCCGGTCCAGGAAAGCCTGGGCTTCAGTGGTCCACAGTTGACCTGAGTCTTAAGGAACAACTACAGAAATCAGCTAGAGGGGATGATAAACTAAGGGCTGAGCTGCTGGCTGGCTCACACGCTTCTACTAGGGAGGGGGCAAGTTAAACACTTCTTTTCCCGGTCCCTTCCAGCCAGCAGCAGCCAGTGGCCCAGCTCTGGCCAGTGGATAGAATGGACTGGGAAAAGGAGTTTTTTCTTACAAAGGAGAGAGAACATGGGCGAAGAGTGTGACCGTGTGGGTCTCGGCCACAGAACAGCAGCTACGAGAGCGGGAGCGGCCTGGCCACGCACACACAGGCCCTGCATTTGACCTCTAGCACTATCACCAGGGAAAAGGAAGAGGAAGAGAAGGAAGAAAGGGAGGACAGGGAGAGGAAGCAGGAGGAGGGGAGCAGCAGCGTCCCTCCAGAGAGAGCAGGCAAGTCTTTAAGCTACCATGAATTTGCACTGTTTACTTGTGGCAGGAAGCATTCCTAACAAATAGGCAGCCATGAATTTAAATTGATCTGGGTCTGAAGTCTTTGCCACAGAGGGACACCACGTAGGTCCCTTTACTTCCCTGAGCCCTCCCTCTTTCTTTTTTATTTTAAGACAAGTTCTCACTACTTAGCCCTGGCTGTCCTAGAACTATGTAGATCAGGTTGGCCTCAAACTCTTACTGATCCACAGCCTCTGCCTCCAGGGTGCTGGGATTAAAAGCGTGGGCCACCACTGAATAAAGATATTTAATATACCCAGCACTCGGGAGGCAGAGGCAGGCGGATCTCTGTGAGTTCGAGGCTAGGCTGGACCGACAGCCTCCAAAACAATACAGAGAAACCCTGTCTCGTAAAATCCAAAAAAAAAAAAAAATTAATATAGGTGCAAGCACTTGGTGAAGAGAGAGAGAGGCATGCAGAAGGCACACTGTGAGCACAGGTGGCCTTCCCAGAGACGAGTCCCCTGGCCCCAGTAACACAGCAGGGTTGTGCAGCAGCACCGGGTACCTGTGGTGGCGGGAGGCAGCTCCGAGAGGATGGTCTTCAGGCCAATGCCGGCGATGTCCCGGAGCTGCTCCTTGTCTGACCGCATGTTGGCACAAAGGGTGTCCACAATCGTCTCCACTTGGTACTCCTTCACTTTGCCCACCAGGGGACCCAGGCTGAGGCAGAGGGAGGGATGGAGAAGGACCCCAAATCCCCAGGCATGCCCTAAGTCAGGTTTGTGGGGACACACACCCTGAGGAAGACCTCAGTTCAACAGAGGGCCCTTTCTTGCTAGGAAGCCGGTGGGTGCACCCAAGCCTATGACTCGCATCTCACCCTGTGGCTCCACAGGCCCCAAAGCAAGGGTTTTCACACCTGAGCTAGTGTCATATGGCCTAGAGAATTGCTAAACACTGATGGCTGGGCAAGCCCTGAAGGTGTAGGTGGCGCCTTCCAATGCATGGCTAACCGGTTTTCACTGGCAGACGCTGGTCATCAGCCTGAGATCTGGAGCCTCATTTCTCAAAGCCTGGTAGCAGATTGTCACCGGAGGACCTGTCAGAGCTACAGAACCCTGCTGCCGGCTTTCTTCCCCCTCCCGCCTCCTCCTCCCTACTTCCTGGATAACCTCCCACATAACTTAGATCTGAACTCTTGGCACAGGGTCTACCTCTGGGGATTACTGGCTAAGCGTCCGAAACTACTGTTGCCCCCAGAGTGCCTGATGATTCTCCCAGGTTGCGTCCTTTCCCCACGCCACCCCTCCCACTCACCACTTGACAGCCAGGTTCTGCACCTCACCACTCCTGTCCTCCAGGAGCCGCAGCAGGGTCCTCACCACCTTGCGCTCGCTGTCCTCATCTAGCTGGATGGAGTCTTTCTGTAGCTCTGACATCAGGTCACTGGTGGCCATGAACCTGGTGAGGGGCAGGGAGGAGGAGCACTGTCCAGCAGCTTCCAGGCCCTGACAGACGGGTAGGTGTACTAGAGTTCCCCAAAACTGGAGCTCAGCGCAAGGGTTCGAAGGCACGTGGGTAGCCAGGGCTGCAGGCAGTGCTGAGCCACCTCAACTAGACTGACTGCGGGAAACAGAAACAAAAGGGTGGCTTAAAGCTCAGGGCCTGGGGAGGAGGGCTCCTGTCACTGCCACTGCCAAAATGGGAACTTGGACAGGTCACTTGCCTTCTCTTGGCCTCAGTTTACCTATTTGAAAAATGGGGGCTGGGGGCTGGAGACGGCTCAGTGTTTAAAAACACTTGCTGGCCAGGAAGTGACAGTGCACACCTTTAATCTAAGTACTTGGGAGGCAGAGGCAGTCGGATCTCTGGGTTCAAGGCCAGCCTGGAAAAGCACTTGCTACTTTTGTAGAGGAACAGGGTTTGGTTTCCAACATCCACACCAGGCAACTCACAACCATCTGTAACTCTAGTTCCAGGATCCTGGCCTGGCCTCCATGGGCATTGCATGCATGGTATAAACACTCATACACAGAAAATAAAAATAAATAGACCTTTTTAGATTATCTTTTTTAATTGAAGGTGAAAAAAAGAAATAAAAATGGGAACTAGACAGTTGGGGAATGGTGGTGCATGCCTTTAATCCCAGCACTCGGGAGGCAGAGACAGGTGGATCTCTGTGAGTTCAAGGCCAGCCTGGTCTACAGAGTGAGTTCCAGGACAGTCAGGGATACAAAGAGAAACCCTGTCCTTAAAAAAAGGGGGGGAATTAGACTTGGGCTGTGATTAAGGGGTTGTGGGCCCACGATACATACTCAGTACATGGCATATGTCATTTGCATGTCACAGTGATAGGCGGCTCATGAGTACCTGAGTATGAGACAGACAATTTCATGGCAGAGTCAGGTGTGGAAAAGAAGCACCTCCAGATGCACAGATGAACCCTGTCAAACACCCCGCCCTTAGCAGGCATCTGAACCTGACCCCTCGTCCAAGGGGCTCATTTATCACAGCAAGCCCCACCCCAGCCTCTCAGCCTGTATTTCCAAGTTCCTGGGTGACATTCAGGTCACAAACCTGCTGTTTTGTTTGTTTGAGACAAGTTTCACAGGGTAACCTTGGCTGGCCTGGAACTCACTCTGTAAATCAGGCTAGACATAAACTCACAGGAATCCCCCTGCCTCTGCCTCCCAAGTACCAGAATTAAAGTCATAGGTCACTATGCCTGGCTAGTCATGAACACTTTAAAAGTCACATGGATGGGCAACTGGCACATTTTGATATTTTGGAGACCAGAGTCAACAGCTGACCAACACATTCCTAGTCACAGGACCAGCGCCAAGGGCTTCAATCACCCCCAGGGTTCTTAAGATCTTCTAAAAAAAAGCCTGCTGTTCTGTCCTGATCATTTAGCTTACAATGGTAGTTCAAGTCAGAAAGCAACAAAGAATGGGGCTGAGGGGCCTCACAGGACACCATTCTGGCTAAAAGAAGACAGCAGAGCAGAGGACTCTCTGGCTGCCCTCAGCTGTGTCCAGGATGCAGATGTTTTTCCCCAGCTTGAATAACTCATCCCCATCTGAACACCATTAAAGTGACTTCTAATTCCTGGAAACAACATCTCAATACCACTGGGTCTCTACCTAATGTAGTCACTGCAGATGGCAAGTGCCCTTTCTCCAGTGCCGCCATTCCCACAGACTGCCATGCTTGCTGGTTCCTGCTGGCGCCTGAATGGAGACTCATGGAGGAGATGCTATAAAGAGAGGTCCAGAGAAAGCCTGCTGCCTGTCCCAGCCTCCTAGGGTACAATCTGTCACCACTGGAGTGGGGCCCCAGCCCAGACCTGCTGTTTGATGTCATGGCAGCCCACAGAGCCTAGCGGGACCCTGCCCATGCCACCATTTCTTAATTGTAACAGCCAGAGCAGCCTGAAGCTGCTGAGAGAAGGCTGGGGCTGAGCTGAAGGAGAGAAGGGGACTGCTGCTGTCCCACCCACCACCCAGGCACTTTAAGGGAGGGGATGTTTGCGTTTGGGCCTTTCTGAATTTCTGCTGCACAGGGCCCAGAAGGGCCTGGCAACCCCGACTGTGCTCTAGGAGACGCAGGATGGGCCCAACAACCAGGGAGTCTGTCTGGCACACTCCAGTTCATCACCACCTCAGCTAGGGCTTCTATTGCTCAATAAAGACCATGGCCAAAAGCAACTTGGGGAGGAAGGGTTTCTGCTTGCAGCGTTAGCTCATCATTCAAGGAGGTCAGGGCAGGAACTCAAGGCAGCAACCTGGAAGTAGGAGCTGAGACGGAGGCCGTGGAGGATGCTGCTTATTAGCTTGCAGCCATGGCTCTTTTAGCTTACTTCCTCAGATGTCCCAGGACTACCTGCCCAGGGTTGCCATCACTCACAATGGTCTGGGCCCTCCCCATCAATCACTAATTAACAAAAAACTACCACAGTCTCATCTACAGGCCAATCTTATGAAGGCATTTCCTCGATTATGTTCCCTTTTACTTTCGCTTGGGTCAACCGGACAAAAACCCAGCTAGCACACCCATCAAGAGTTTAACTCAAACGGTTCTGTCTCAGGGACCATCATGATCATTGTGATCTGCACACACCTAAGCATTACAGTTGCCTTAGACAGGTCACCTCGGGGCTTTGCACCCTCCATCACAGCGCTCTCTCCTGTGTAGCGATGAATGTGTGAGAGTGCTCCACAGACCATGACCACACACACACACACACACACACACACACACACACACACAACCCCCCCCACAAGCACACACGTATACAGGCATATAATATCTCCCCCACATACACACACAAACAATGCCCCCCAACAAGCACACACCATGCACATACACAGACACACACATGTATACAAACATACAACAAGCCCCCCCACCATACACACACATGTATACAGACATGCAATACCCTCTACATACGCCGGGCGTTGGTAGCGCACACCTTTAATCCCAGCACTGGGGAGGCAGAGGCAGGCGGATCTCTGTGAGTTCAAGGCCAGCCTGGTCTACAGAGCGAGTTCCAGGACAGCCTCCAAAGCCACAGAGAAACCCTGTCTCAAAAAACCAAAAAAAAAAAAAAAAAAAAAAACCCTCTGCATACACACACAAACAATCCCCCACACACAAAAACACACGATGCACATACACACACGAATACATATTCCACACACATACATGCATGCATACCTACACACACATACACCTGTGCACACATATACACATATGTGTGCATACACATACTTGGCACTCAGCAGGTTCACCTCCGACACTCCAAGCTCACCAAAAACAGGCTTGACCAGGGAGCAGGGTGAAGGCAGGAAAAACTTAGTGCTCAACAGCCCTTAGAGTCAAACAGCCTTGTGGAAACCTGAGCCCAGAAATCAACATTCATAAATAAGCCTCAGCATTTCAGACACCCAGATTCTGCAGACACCACTCTCAGAGGAAACACCACGGTGCTGGGGTGGTGGTGACAACAATTTGATAGGCTAGAGCTCCAAAATAGAGTGGGGCTTTAAGGAAACACACTTGTCTTGTCTCTGGGGGGGGAGTGGCCAGCTGCCTCCTTAACTCCAGTCTCAGTTTTTCCATGAATAAAATGAAAATTTTCTTTGCCCCTCTCCCACAGCATCCTTAAGGGTTTTAGTAGGTCAACTTGAAACAAGTAGGCTCAAAGAGGTTACAGAGCACCAGAGAATACCGGTGTGAGATGGGTCTTCTGCCTCCTCAAACAGTCTTGTGTCACCATGAGAAGATTCAAAAATTCCTGCCAGATCTCTTCCTGGTTTTCCCTGTCAGAGTTTGAGCCCCAGCAAATCTGGGAAAAAGGCTTCCTGTCCCTTGCCTGGAACCCCAGTCAGTTGCTCCCCTCCAGGAACCACAGGCCATGGTCTCCTGTCATTCGAGAGGCAGCACCATTGGGACACTGGGCCACATGGTGCCTGGACAGCTGGCCAGGGGACACAGCCTCCTGGTATTCAGACTTTTAAAAATAGACACTATTCTCATATGCTCAGGGTGGTTGGTTTTAAGTGTCCTCGAGGCTGTTTGCAGGGACAGGCTTAAAGGACTTCTCTGGCCCTGACTGAAAGGGCCAACTCCCCAATTCAGAGGCCCAGGAGGCAGTCCCTCAGCTATGGCAGGGCATGTGACTTTGGATAAACCAAAGCCCCCTCCAGGCCTCTGGAGAACAGGAGGGGCCTGGGACCAAAGAACCTTCAACTAGGACCTACCCTGTCCCCCAGCACAGGCATCAACAGAAGATCAAAGGTGACATGGCAGAAATACAGAAAAAGATGCTTGGTCCTGCATGGAGCACAGAAGCACCCTGGTAACAACTCAGTGGGAGCCAGCAGTGAAGATGAGATGCTCAGTCAGCATCCAGAAAAGTGAGAGTGTACAGCATCACAGAGGCAGCCATTCGCAAAGCACTTACCTGGTACCTAAGCCACAACCGTAGCTAAGGTTCAGAGGGGGTGGAGAAATTTGCCCGTCATATCACATACAGAGCCAGTAAGTTATGGCTGCCAAGATGTGAAGCCAGGGCTAAGGGTTCAAAGCCCTCTTACCACCATGGGATTTGGGGCTGCAGAGATTTTGAGAAATGGATTTACAGGACACAGCAGGGGTCAGACCACGAGAGCAGGCTTCAGGCCCCTTCAGGTTAGATTCAGGACATCACTAAGACCTCCACCTCTGCTTGGTCCTACCTTTGGCATTGTACCCAGCCCCTTAGTCCCCCGAGCCTCAGTATCCCTGCTTGTAAAAGTGACAGTGGATGCGGAGTCCCCTCAACTTGAGGGTACACAACTGGGCATCGGGGCACGGGTCAACCCCTTTTATTCACTGAGCCTCAGTTTCCCTGCAAGAGGAAGACCGCACAGATTGGTCCCATCCTTCTGGATGGCTCTGTTCCTGTGTTTCTGGAATGCTTGGAGGGAAGGACAGGAGAAAGAGAATGGGGGAGTCGTGGCCCTAGCCCCAACCTTTGCTTCCTGCCTTTAAACCATAGTTTATTGAACATCTCAGGAGAGGAGAGGAATGAGGAGGGGATGAAAGAAAGGGAAGTCAGGATTAGGAGACCCGGCAGGGATACAGGCTGGGGGGGATGGGGTAACCTAGAGACTGGGTAGAAGAAGATCGGGTATCAGAAAGGATGGAGGTGGTACAGGGAAGGCGCCTGTTTCAGTGCGGTCAAAGGAGGTCTGCACTGAGATCCCAAAGAGAGGCCGACGGGAACTTCACTGGAGGGACAGGGGGGTGCCCAGTATGGGGGGACCTGAGGGGTCAGCACAGCAAAGGCGGGAAGAAGCCGGGGGGGCGGGGTTGTTGCAGCAGGGCAGCAGGCCTAGCCAGGCCCAGGGAAGAGGCCGGGGGTACCCGCGGGGGTCTGCAGGGGGCTGGGGGCTGGCGGCCGGAACGGGCTAAGGTCCCTGGAAAGTAGCCCCGGGCCGCCGCAGGGCGCACCTGAAGTCCTTGTCGCTGGACGTCATCTTCTCCAGCAGGCTGGAGATGTGGAAAGCAGCGGTACTCATGCTTGCTGCGCCGCGGGCTGCGGGCGGGAGCGAATATGGCGGCGCGGCCTCCCCTCCCCACAGCCACGCCCCCTCCCCCTCGGCCACGCCCCTTCGGTCACCCTCACCCCCTCCTGTCCCGGGAAGGGCTGGACTGCAGGACCTGGCCCCTTCTCCTGGGGAGCCCTGCTCAGCATGGCTTGCACACTCCAGAGACAGGCAACTACACCTCCTGGTTCTGTCTTGTGGATCTTTGACCTTGCTCGGTGGCTTGCATGCACGCATGGATGTGGGATGGCAGTCCCAGGTTCCACTAGGCTTCACTTCTCTGAGCTCCAACTTTCTCATCTACAATCATAAAGAACAGGAGCTGTTAAAGCAAAGCTAGTCAAGCAAGCCTTAGCACCCCTCGCTGGACTTCTGACTTTCCATGGTGGCCTGTCCAGAACCACACTTATGCGGAGGGTGCATTCAGTCATACCAGGTCCCTACCCTGTCAGGATAAGACTTTTAATTTTACAATTTCAGTGTGCCCTGGGAACCAAAGGAACTTGGCAGAGTCACACAACCAGTGAACCTGCGATGGAGTCAGGATTGACCTCAGTTTTCTACAGACTTGGGTAACAGCCATTCCCTGAAGCTGATTGCAGTTTTCCCCGTGTGAGTGTGTGAGTGTGTGAGTGTGTGAGTGTGTGTGTGTGTGTGTGTGTGTGTAGATCTTTAGGAGGACTCTTTATTATTTATTTATTTATTTATGTATTTATTTTTGGTTTTTTGAGACAGGGTTTCTCTGTAGCTTTGGAGGCTGTCCTGGAACTCACTTTGTAGACTAGGCTGGCCTCGAACTCACAGAGATCCGCCTGCCTCTGCCTCCCGAGTGCTGGGATTAAAGACATGCGCCCGGCTAGGAGGACTCTTTAAACAGGACAGGAAGCTTGACTTCAAATCTCTGTAGGCTGCCTCCCGACTTGGTGGCCTTGGGAGAGGCACACAACCTCTCTTGGCTATTTTTAGTCATAGCCTCATAAAGAAGCTTTTACCTTTTTTATTTTGTTGTTCAAGACAGGGTTTCTCTGTCCTGAAACTCACTTTGTAGACCAGGCTGGCCTGAATTCACAAAGAACCGTCTGCCTCTGCCTCCAGAGTTCGGGGATTAAAGGTGTGTGCCACCAGCTCCTAGAAAGAAACTTTTACTTTAAATGTATTAAAATTTATTTTTTGGTACTGCTCTACCTCTGAGCCACACACCCAGCCTGGTAAAAGGAAATTTCTGGGGTCGAGATGGCTCATGCCGGTAATTCCAGAACTTGGCAAGTGAAGGCAGGAAGCCAGGAAGATCAAAAGTTCAGCCCTGGCTACATAGACCCTGTCCTTAAAAACAAAAACAAAAAGCCAAAAAACAAAAGCAAACAAGCAACATAAAAAAAAGACAACCAAAAAACCGCTGGGTAGGTAGCAGATGCCTTTAGTCTCAGCACTCAAGAGGCAGACGCAGATGGATCTCTGTGAATTTGAGGCCAGACTGGTCTACAGAGCAAGTTCCAGGACAGCCAAGTCTACACAGAGAAACCTTGTCTCAAAAATCAAAATAAAAAGTAAAGAAAAAAAAACCCCTTCGTTTTAATCGCATCTGTTTTCCTGCCCCTAATACAACCTTTCTTCCTCTAAGTGACTGAACAGTGGCTATAAAGTCCCTGTTCTTGGAACAGAAAAATGGGCTCTACATGTCCTCTAGTCTCCCTGCTCCTGCCTTAATCACATCACCCACCTAACCATCCCAGAAGGAGGCCATTTTTCATGAGTGGGAAGGGGAGACAGCCCTTCAGGGGACTGTGAATACTCTTATCGAGGAATATAGCAATCATCTGGCACCTTGGGTAGTGACTCAGTAAATGACAGTGAAGCCAAAGTTGGATCTTTTTCCTTTTTAATTTTATTGTTATTATTTATCTTTATGTGTAAGAATGCTTTATCTGCACATATGTATGCGTAACACACGTTACTCATATATATGTGCCATACCCACAGTGGCCAGAAGAGGGCAATAGAACATAAGGAACTGGAGTTACCAGCTGTTGTGAGCTGTCATATAGGGTGCTGTGAGCAGAGCCCAGGTCCTATGCAAGAGCAGAAAATGCTTTTAACTACTGAGCCATCCCTCCAGCTCTCTTTTTTATTTCTTACAACATTAGACTACTTCTGGTAAACCCTGTTTACAGTTCAGAGCTTCAGAATCCTACCTAGTGTTTGCTGGACTCTGGATATGATTGAGGGAATGGCCAGTTCTTGTTAACATTCTGCTCGTGTTGGGTTAAAGCATGCAATTTCTAACTATGGGATGCAGCATCTTGCTCCTCCTTAAAGGAATTTAAAGGGTTTTTTGCTTTATTTTATGTGCGAGAATGTTTTGCTTGCATGAATGTCTGTGCTCTGTGTGCATGTAGTGACCAAAGATGTCAGAAGAAGATGTCAGGTCTCCTGGAACTGGAGATACAGGTGATTTTGAATCACAATGTGGGTGCTGGGAACTGAAGCTAGGTCCTTTGCAAGAGTAACAAGTACTTTAAACCACTCAGCTATCTTTCCTCCCCAACCTCCATTAAAAAAAATTCCTTTAATCTCAGCACTCAAAAAATAAAATAAACCAGGCGTTGGTGGCACGCGCCTTTAATCCCAGCACTCGGGAGGCAGAGGCAGGTGGATCTCTGTGAGTTTGAAGCCAGCCTGGTCTACAGAGTGAGTTCCAGGACAATACAGAGAAACCCTGTCTCGAAAAACCAAAAAAATAAAAATAAAATAAAATAAAATAAAAACCAGGATTCATTTTTTGAATCCATTTTTTTGTTTTGTTTTTTTCTTTTTTTTCTTTTTTTAGAGACAGGGTTTCTCTGTATTGTTTTGGAGGCTGTCGGTCCAGCCCGGCCTCAAACTCACAGAGATCCGCCTGCTTCTGCCTCCCGAGTGCTGGGATTAAAGGTTTGCGCCACCACTGCTCATATTTGTTTGTTTTTCAAGACAGAGTTTCTCCATGTAGTCCTGGTTGTCCCAGAACTCGCTCTGTTGTAGGCAGAGTTTTTGGTTGAACTGCCGGCCAGCTCCCAAATAACCACACAGAGACTTGCTATTAATTATAAATGCTCAGCCAATAGTTCAGGTTTGTTACTAGCTAACTCTTACATTTTAAGTTAACCCATGTTTCTGATCTATGCCCTGCCATGTGGCTTGGTGCCTTGTCTCGGTGCAGCAAGTGCATCTCCTCTCCACATCTCCTCGTGATTCTGAGACTCCTCCTCTTCTTCTTTGTGCTCTTCTTGTCTGTAAGTCCCACCTAACCTCTATCTGCCCAGGTGCTGACCAGCCAGCTTCACTATTAACCCAACCACAATGACATATATTCATACAGTATAAAGGAATATTCCATACTCTGTGAACAGGCTGGACTCAAACTCTGAGAGATTCACCTACCTCTGCCTCCTGAGTACTGGGATAAAAGGTGTGCACCATCACTACCTGGCAGTAAAATCTATTAATTTGATCTAAGTGTTACAAAGCTTAAATTTTTATCGCTATTCTTTCTTCTAGATGATCTTTAATAGAACTCCTAGGTGCTCAACAGCCGTGCTTAAAGGCTAAAATCAATACGATAAAGAGACAAAAAGGGCAGCCAATATTTGGCCCTCGCCCTCCAAAATCAGTTAGGTCTCAGAGGATCAGAGAAGGATGTGACATCTGAAAAAGGGTTCTAAAGTGCCTATGAGGCGTTTGAGCACTGGGTCACCGCTTGGTAGTCTATTTGGGGAAGCTGAGGAGGTGTGGCCTTGATGGGGAAAGTGTGTCCATGGGGCAGGCTTTGACAGTGCATAGTCTTAGTCTGCTTTCAGTTTGCTGTCTCTGAAAGACGCAGTCTGGACTTCCTACTCCTGTCACCATGTGTGCTGTCCAGTCCTGATGAACTCCTGCCCCTCTGGAACAGTAATCTCGAGAAACTCTTCTTTGTTCTTGCTGGCTGTTTCGAGACAGGGTTTCTCTATGGCTTTGGAGGCTGTCCTGGAACTAGCTCTTGTAGACCAGGCTGGTCTCGAACTCACAGAGATCTGCCTGCCTCTGCCTCCCGAGTGCTGGGACTAAAGGCGTGCGCCACCACGGCTGGGCCCAAATAAACTCTTACTTCTATTAGCTGCTTAAGTCATGGTGTTTTATCACAGTAAGAGAACCCTAATTAAAATCAAGGACACAGGGCCAAGCCCACATCCAGAGTGGAAAGAGCCTGTCCTGAGTCATATGGAGCAGGCAGGGATGCAGAAATGTGAGACACTGAAGTGCCGTCTGCCCCTCCTCCGACTAGGCTTAGACTCTGGGGAGCAAACTGTAGCTAATAGCAAGTGACTGCATTTGACCTGTGGGAAAGTCAGAAACTCATCCTCCTGTAGCTATTCTTTGATGCCTGTGTGGAGACACTATGATGAGTACCGTACAATTTGAAGGTGAACAGGTCTGCTCCCATCTCTGATGTCTCAACCCTGCGGGAGACACCAGTTTCAAGCCTCTTGTTGATGAAAGGCAATTGTGGACACTGATGCTTTGAGGGGCAAGAAGGAGCCATTGAAAGAGGTCTGCTAGGCCAAGGAAGGGGTCTGGAATCTGAACAGGGTCCTGGGCTTATCTCCCGGCCCAGGCTGTATCTTGCTAGCCATTGGTAATGAGTTCCGGAAGGGCTACAGTCTATCATGCCAGCAGGAGCCTGGGGGCCAAACTAGCCGTCAGGAAGCAAAGAGACCACATTTCACATGCACACAGAGGCAGAGAGCTGTCCTCCGTTTCAATAATTGAGGTTCTAGGGTGACTTTAGAGGTGCCCTGGGTGTCATTATAATCTGAAAAAGTAAAGTCAGGACACTAGGGTTCCACAAGGGACTCAGGACATGACTTTTACTGTAGGTGGGGTTTCTTGTGCAATTCCTAGAAAACTGTAAATTTATAAACAGTCTCCAGTTGGGGGTTTAAGGG